TGGCCACTAATTGATATAGATAATAATGTTGCATTTAAACAATAGAGATGAGCTGATGAGAACAGACATGCAAGGGATGAAAAATGCTGTTGCAATAGAACTGCTGCGTCATGGACCATTTGGCCTTGAAAATAAAGGTTTTGCAGTTGAAATCCCACAAACACACAAACACACACACAGATTCCCTCTCTTGTATTCTTGTTCCCCACCACAGGTGTCAAATTTGAAATCATCATGTACATCAATTAACAATCATATGTACAAAGCATACAGTGTATATCTTTCCTATATACTGAGGATACACTCACCAGCAGACCCATCATTCAAGATTAACACTTGATTATTATTCAGTGTATTGTACTCTACATGTATCAGAGGAAGAAGAAAATCAAAGCTGCTGTAAATTTGTGTTTGACCTGTGAGATACAGATTTCAAGATTATGGTGATATGATCTGATCTTAGACCTGATCTTAGGAGCTGTGATTTTAGCACCTGCATCTCTTGTCGAGATTGAAATAGGAGTTTGCAGAACTAAAAACATAATAGCAAGGGAAAGTCAAACACAACAGAAATGAAATCACACCACAGTGTGGAAGCGAGAGCTCAGGGTGTTTGCGAAAGAGGTAAATGATCTTTCCAACACCTCATGGCCACTGAGAGAGGCCACGAGGAAGGAACATTTACACCCCTCTCAAATCCCTCCGATGTCATGCTCCGCTGTAAAGTGCATCCTTAAGTCTTCATTTCCCCCTCACCCACCCACAAATGCACACACACCAGTGACAGGGGCAGCAACTCTGTGTTGGCAGGGACACTAAGCACTGAACAGCCCTGAGCACAGCAGGAGGCTTTGGCCACCTGCACACTGTGGAGACGAGATAGAGAGACAAATCCAACATTGAAGTTGGTGATAGACACTACAATATTTTCTTTTTCCACTCCAAGGATTTTAGCAATTTGTTTTCAAGGTTTACTCTGTGCTTAGGTATGAGGAGTGGCATGAAACAAAATAAAACAAAGATGTGCCATTGCTTGGGGTGTGAACACTGATTCACTTTTATGGTAGGTCCCACACAGGAAAAGAAAAATGCTTTTAATGTTCCCCAGGTCCTGCAAAGACCTATGCAAAATGTAAACAATGTTTGAGCCTACCTTTGAGCCTTGTTACAAGGGCCCACTACTGTGCAGTGTTCATTAGAGTGGAAATGATATGTGCAAACAAAGAGAGGCACCCAAGCAGCTCACTCTGCTGCGTCTTTTCATCTCAGAATTGCAAATGAATGCTGCCTCCTCACCTGGTCTCTGCAGGCAGTGTCCCAGTGCCTCCAATCAGTGCTTTATTGACAGCAGGCATCCAGCAGAAAACCGGGAGTGCTAATAGCTGAGGATGATGCCTGATAAACACGTTCTCCCCTCTAACTGCACCCCCACATATTTTACTGCCTGGCAGGGTGGCCTCCAACCAAGGTCAGGATGTGGAGTTGCTTGGCGAACAGACCTGCTTATACAAAAACTGGCACGCAGTTTTATGTAAGAGTCAGTTCTGACTCAGTTTGGCTATTCTCCATCTGCTTTCAAATTTGAAAAGGTGCATTTTTGTCCATACTGGCATAGAATCTTGTTGGAGGAGACATGTACTTTCCATGAATATGCTGAAAAAAATACACATTTCATCCAGATGTCCTGATGAAATATAAAGCAAATGAGGAAATAACATGCTCAGTATTCTAAGCAATAAGCAAATGGGCTGCAATGTTAAACTTATGGGCATGCCATATTATTGTGTAGCGCAGCCCTGTCCATGGAAGCACACAGCATTAGACTTTCAGTGCAGCAAATATCTGTGGCCAAACCATTCTGTCTAAATAACAGGGAGGGTGGCATCGTAAACACAGACTTGCTTGGCTTTGTCGAGCTAATGACTTCCTGCTCCAGTGGCTTGTGAAACAGTGTTAGAGCCAAAATAAGTAAAATCGGGAGCAGAATTTAATCTGTCACTCAATGGAAAGCCTTTAAGCAGAAACATACAGCCACCCAGAGGGTGCACGCAAGTGAAGTGAAATTACAGCAAAAGCTCCCTGGCAGAGAGTGAAGTACCAAAACAGGTTGTGTATAGGATTGAGGATTACAGATTGGTTGGATAAATAGGGGATTCTTTAAAGCAAAACAAACTTAGTGTGAATGTCAACCAGGGTGGTAATCTAAACCCATCACTCCCTTTGAATCTAGGTAAGATTCACCTACGTAGAATAGAGATGGATGTGGCAAGGAAGACAGCGCTTGCTCTCGGTTTTTGATCTTCCTGAATTTGCCCCGAGCTTGGTTTTGAACTGTGTAGCTGTGCAGCAGTTTATATTAACAACTGCAAGTGTTGCAAGGTAGTGTGAGCAACGTTCAGGCTGCCTTTCCAACTACTCAGAATGAATCATTTCTATGAATTGTTTGTTTCCTCTGTAGTCTCGTGGGAAAACTGGATGGGTATGACGAGAAACTACTCTGGGCTAGATGAGCTAAATTTAATCAAAAACATCAATGACTTGTTTTTGCTAAAACTGTCTTGCCTCTTTTCTAACCTTCTTTTCTCTCGCTGTTTTCTGAATATGAAACAAAACTGCATCCAAATCATACCTCTATGCAATTACAGCAAGCCAACATCGACTCTGTAAACAAACAGCTGAATTTATTTACTAAAAAAAGTCCAAAATCACTCATGTTAAAAGTGGTGATCTGTTCAATAATGAAAATAGACAAGCCTTTTGAAAAGATGAAACTTTGTCTAATGCCAGCAACTCCAACTTAGAGGCAATGACACTTACAAAATATATATATATATATATATATATATATATATATATACACAGCAACAAGACATAAGGTAGTTAAACTGCATCAGCAAGGTCTCTCCCTACTGTGCAAAAGTTTTAGGCAGGTGTGAAAAAATTCTGTAAACTAAGAATGCTTTGAAAAATATAAATAATAATTGTTTATTTTTATCAGTTTACAAAATGCAAAGTGAGTGAACAAAAGAAAATCTAAATCAAATCAATATTTGGTGTCACTACCCTTTGCCTTTAAACCAGCATGAATTTTTATAGGTACACTTGCACAAAGGAGGAAGTGAGGAACAGCCAAACTCTGCTACCAAGGTGAGGTTGTGGAAGACAGTTTCATGTCACTGGTCATACACCATGGCAAGACTGAGCACATCAACAAGACACAAGCTAGTTATACTGCATCAGCAAGGTCTCTGCCAGACAAAGATTTCAAAGCAGACTGGGGTTTCAAGATGTGCTGTTCAAGCTCTTTTGAAGAAGCACAAAGAAAACGTTGAGGATTGTAGATGCAGTGGTCAGCCAAGGAAACTTAGTGCAGCAGATGAAAAACACATCAAGGTTATTTCCCTCAGAGGATGTCCAGCAGCGCCATCAGCTCAGAACTGGCAGAAACCAGTGGGACCCAGGTACACCCATCTACTGTCCGGAGAAGTCTGGCCAGAAGTGGTCTTCATGGAAGAGCTTCAGCCTAAAAGCCATACCTCCGACATGGAAACAAGACCAAGTGACTCAATTATGCATGAAAACATATGAACTGGGGTGCAGAAAAATGGCAGCAGGTGCTCTGTACTGATGAGTCAAAATTTGCAATATTTGGCTGCAGCAGAAGGCAGTTTGTTCGCCGAAGGGCTGGAGAGCGGTACAATAATGAGTGTCTGCAGGCAACAGTGAAGCATGGTGGAGGTTGCCTGCAAAGTTTGGGTCTGCATTTCTGCAAATGGAGTTGGAGATTTGGTCAGGATTAATGGTGTCCTCAATGCTGAGAAATACAGGCGGATACTTATCCATCATGCAATATCATCAGGGAGGTGTATGATTGACCCAAATTTATTCTGCAGCAGGACAACGACCCCAAACATACAGCCAATGTCATTAAGAACTATCTTCAGCGTAAAGAACAAGAAGTCCTGGGAGTGATGGTATGGCCCCCACAGAGCCCTGATTTCAACATCATTGAGTCTGTCTGGGATTACGTGAAGAGACAGAAGGATCTGAGGAAGCCTACATCCACAGAAGATCTGTGGTTAGTTCTCCAAGATGTTTGGAACGACCTACCAGCTGAGTTCCGTGTGTGTGTGTGTGTGTGTGTGTGTGTGTGTGTGTGTGTGTGTGTGTGTGTGTGTGTGGAATCACTGACATCAAAGTTTTTCTGTGTTCCACATTAATATTCATGTCTGAAGCAAAGAAAAAAATGAGACATGAAATGCAGATTATCCTCTTCTGAGAAGATATGCAAATAGAAAGTCAGACACTTAGAGCACACCACATATACTGTATATGCTTCCTTATTCAAATCAACTAAGACATAATCATCATTCTGCGAGGCTAAATATAGAAATACCCAGTATGTTCCATATGTGTGTCTGGACAGCAACGTGCAGAAAGTCTGGCTGTGTGAAATGACATAAAGGTCTTCCATCACAATAGCAGACTGGTTTTAATTTACGGGTGTTTTGGTGTATTTGATGAGGTCATAGAGAGTGCACAGGTGGTTAAATGAATAAAATGAACCAGAGCCTGAAGTCAGGTTTGAATCTGTCTGACACTTGTGATTCCCAAACAGGTTGAGTCTATAATCTACAGTCTATTTCTGCATTATGCCTCAAAAAATAAATCAGTTAACATATCTACAGTCACAATAGGATTTTAAGGGCTGCACATTGATGGTAATGAATGAATGATCTCCATAAGTCCTGATTCCAACTTTGATTATATGCAAAAACACTAGATTAATAAACATCCAGCCTCCATGTGTTAATTTTTGGCACCTTTTAAAATAGGAAGACTTTAGATGATGTAATTTTACGCTTGAACCAACATTTCCTCAGTTCAAGTCAATCTGCACTGTACAGCCACAATAGAATCTGCAGCTCAACCTTAAAAACAGACTTAATGAGATTGTATATCCAAACCGAGAATATTACTCTTCAGGATATGGTGTGTGAATGAGCTTTAATTTCCCAAATACAGTAAAAATCCAGTGTTTGTGCATTAAAAAAAAGACACCATACAGTTCTGCATCTGCAAGGTCCAAAAAGATCAACAGAGTTCCTTCATGACAGCAAACACATGCATTCCCTTTGAACTTTCAGAAATGTGAGAGTGGACAAAAGCATGACTGAGCCTCAGAAGAGCCAAACACGTCCCATCATGCATTGCGCTTACAGATAAGAATAAAACAGGAATATGACATAAATCTTATCTCAATAAAATACTTCTCTCACTAACTTTAGAAAATCTTATTTCACTTGACTATCATGTTCATGTAAAGGCTTTGATTCCACATATAATATTAGATAACTATGCATACTATATATACACACTCTTAGATCAGATTTAGCTTTAAATCATTTCTCAGCATTTCAAAGATATAAAGGGGGCGTCACCCTTAAACATTATTATAGTAAAAATGATTTAACTTTCATGTCACCAATCATGACCTAGCATCACTTTGCTCAAATGATGAATATCTCAGCTTGGAACAAGAGCCACATGTAAACTTACAGCAAAATAATTAATTGAAAATGGGTTAATTCCTGCCACCACACTAGTCCACATTAACGGGGAAGAGATAAGAGTCTTAATAGTTGATCAGACCTTCTTGGCGAAGTCCAGCCAGAGCGGGCTTATCTAAATCCTCTTGGGAGAGCTATCTGCGGAGTCGGAGGAGAGTGCAGAGGAATGCTTAAATTTGCCTGAAAAGCAGCTCTTATAAATAAAGCAGCGTTCCTCTGATAGTGCTCAACTTTACTGTTCAGTATTGACTGACTTATTCAATGTGTTCTGTTAAATAAGAAAGAGAAAGGAAAAAGTACACTTTAGCAATGGGAGCAAAATCACTTCATGATGTGAATGGGTGCGCTATAATAAGTAAAGTTAGATGAAATCGCAAAGCTATTCAAAAACAGTGTTCTTTGTGTGACTCCTCTCCGTCCTTGGTAGCTGGGAAGTGGTGTTACAAGTTGGAGGGAAAGAATTGTGTCTCTCCTGTGTGTCTGATGTCACTGAGCACAAAGCTGCCTGACGTTGGGTTACGACGTGCTTTCTGCCAATAAGCCTTCGCCGTCGCTTGCCGTCAGCGGCTGCCTGCGGGAGTCTCTGTCCACCTCGTCCTCCTCATCAGACCTGCCAACACTCAGGTGTCTCCGGTACACAGGAGGGCTGTGAGGGTCAACATACATATAGACGCATCATTATATCATTACTTGGCTACTCGCTAAAGAAACAAAACTGAAGGGTGTAAAGATGAGAAGAAGGCTGCATGGCACGAGAAACCACAAGCAAGTCAGACTGTAAAATGAAATTCTTCCCCAGGCAGCAAATAACACATCCTCTAAAACATGCACAACATTCAGTATGTGTTCATTATCATTTATTTTTAATTAGTACATCAGAAAAAATATATAATAATAATATGAAATATTCATGCTTAACCTACATATTAGTAAATAGTATGTGCAGTTAATAAAGTAAATGTCAGGGGTCAGTGCAGGACATGAACTCATAATATGGCTGAAAATAATACTGTGGACTGAACTGTACCTTGCTTCTACCTCCCACCATTATTATTATTTAAAACTTCACATCTTCAGTTTATGTTGTAGAGATTTGCTGCCATAAGCACTGCTCTGCTCTTTAATACATAACCCTCCAGACAAGCAGAAAACATCTAAAACACGTCCTGCAGCTCCCTCGAACAACAGGGACTGTCTGCATGTGATGCACAACAATCCATAACCTGACACCATGTATCTTGAAGTATTAGATATTTGGAGAAGGCTGAAGTACTCTGCGTTCTGGCCTCATCACACAAACTGCTGCATGTCATCCTTTTGGAAGACAGTGACATCTCTGATTCTGAGTCACAAGATGTGTAAGTTAGTCAGGACCAGTGCTGACACCTGCCAGTGTGAGACAAAGATCAAACTGTACAATCAACTACTTTTATAAGTGAAGATGTTGCTGTAATTAATGTAATAGTGTAATTTAAAATTTAAACGAATTTAATAAATCAATTGATTCTCTGTTCAAACAAATGTGAAAGTACTTTAACAACTTTAGGTCACTTGTGTAAACCCTGGTTCTCTGAGTAGTATGACGTATCCCAATATGAAACATCATGAGAACTAGAACGTAATAATTACTTAAAGGTGTATTTATCTACAGTGAAAGTAACACTTTGTTTAAAGGAAGTGTTTTAATGGATATCTGGATTCAGCTGTTGTTGCCTAGTAACTGTGCAGAGAGAAGCACCTGGATGGAAGTATGGAACTAGTATGGGACCTCTATAGTTCTACTATGTTGCTATAATGAAAGCAGTTATCTTAGTGACATGAGCATATATGAGCCAGGACCATGTTCAGCCCATTAAACCCACCTTCACTTTCCACTAATTAACCCAGGAGCCAGTCTTCAATTAGAAAGGCATATTCAAATTCAAGGACAACCACCAAGCTGCTGGCACTTTTTGCTACACAGAAACAAGAGACGCTCAAACTGTGAGTAAATGACTCTGTATGAATAGTGAAGCTGAGAGCTAATTTTAGCATTTTAATTACGATGCAAAGTGTCATGCCACACCTCTGTAAACTCTTCTCCGCTGACATGTTGAGGCAAAATTGGTGTAATTTAGTTTTTGTCTCATTGCCAACACCTGTTTTGTTGTGGATGGACAGCCACAGCCAGACACCTCTATGTACTTACAACAACATCAAACACTCACATTTGAGATGTAATCCATCTCTACAAAGGAGAAACAGAAACATAACATCGCTTTTCTGATGACAAGTAATTACAATAACGAATTACTGTGTATCTCCTCCACTGTATCAGCTGCTGTTTATTGTAGGTATTACAAAGAAGTGACTGGAGTGTGTCAGTCGTGCAGACTAGAGGCGAACTTCAGGATACTATGATGAATTAGTCTGTTTAAATGAAGACACGTGTTACCACGAGCAAAGGAAAAACAACAGTGTCACATTCTTTCTTTTGGAAAACGTAGTTATGGCTGATCAGTCAACATGAGATGCAAACTAAGTTAGTACATCAAGTGAACGATCCTGATCAGTTATTCCATGCTCCTGGGTTATTACCACACCAAGCATCACCTTCTCCTGCTGCATCAGTCACTGTCAGGCCTGTACAGGTACTTCATCACCACACTGTCCATTTTCTTCTGCTTCTTCTTGGTTTCCTTCTTGCCTGATGGCCCACGATTTGCGAGCTCCTTCTCATCATCAGATGGGCGTTTCGGTGCCCTTTTAACACTGCTGGAGCTGCGGTAGGAGATGGTTGAGCCGGAGGAGGAAGACTCTGACGACTCAGAGGAGGAAGACGAATCCTCAGACTCACTTTGTTTCTTACTAGATCTCTTCTTGGCCCTCTTGCTCTTCTTCCTCCTTGAGCTCTTTCTGCTGTGACGATCATCTGAGGAGGAGGAGCAGGAGGAGGAGGAGTCTGATGGAGAGACTTTGCTTTTTTTATCTTTGCGACTGCGGGAGCTGCTGGTGCTCAGGGTACTGGATGGCCGACTGCTGTAGTCCAGAGCAGAGCCAGATGCGGAGCGCCGCAGGCTGGACGTGCTGCAGCCAAGCCCCTCATCACCCCCCTTCTTCCTGCTGTCCTCACTCCCTGGCACCTTCTTGTCATCCTCTTCATCACCACTAGACTCATCAAGTTTGCTGCGCTTGAATTTAATGGGCTTGAAGCTCAGCACCTCATTGATCGCAGCCTCCAAGTCAGGATCTAAGTAGTTGCGGTGCGTGACCGTTTTAATATCAGATGTATCTGCTGGGTTGGAGTCTGAGGAGCGGGGTTGAGCTGGGGTAGAAAAGCTGCGACTCAGGGAGCGGGGACTAAAAGAGGAAGTTCCCCCTTCACTAAAAGTTACACTCTGGCCATCATCATCATCATCATCTACATGCAGGCCAAATTCACTGAGGCCACAGCTGCGGGCGAGGGACAAGCGTGAGCTGCTGCGTCTGTCGTCTTTCCAAGAAGTGCTGCGGTGCAGTGACCGCGGACTCGAGCGGCTCACACTGCTGATAGTTGATTTATTGTCGTCATCCATGTCCAACATGCCCCTCCTGGTGGACATCCTGCTGGGAGCCACTGATGACACCATGGACTCCTTATCAAATTCAGGGCTGCTGCGGGAGGTCCAGCGGGATTCCAGGCCCTTCCTGGCTCTGCTGGTAGCCTCAGAATAGGCCATGGAGATGACGGAGCCTTTGTCGTCCAAGTCTTCCTGCGCTTGGCTCTTCTTCCAGTCCTCCTGGAGCTCTCCAGACTTGGACTTGGCTTTACGAATTGAGGTGTGGTCTGGCGTGTCTGGCTGTTCTTTGAGCGTGCTAAACAGGGAGCTCTCATCGCCCGTCCCACCGATGGAGTCTTTCAGGTTGGAGCGCTTCCTGTAGCTTAGGGAACTCATGACAGACACTGATCTGCTCTGCTCTACTTCTTTCCCATCTTTGCTGATGTCAGTCATCTTCTCCTTACCTTCCTTCACCTCCTTGGCATCTGCATTTGCTGAATATCTGAAGGGTTATGTAATAAAGTTGACACCAGAGACGACCGACAGAACACATTCCTGATATGTGGTAACTCATTCACTTTGTCGTTGGGGCCAGTCAAGACTCAGGGAACATATACTATAACTCTGGCTACTGTTCTGTTCAGTATACACTGTAGGAAGTGAGGCAATCAACCAGTGAGAAGATCTATCTAACTGTGGCAGAGGCGTCATTTAGCAGGAGCGCCAACTGGCAAGGGGCCACTTCAATAAATTTGACGGCAGCCATTTCCCCATCCCGCCTCCTGTCATTAGACAGATTACTGGGAGAGAGGGATGACACCTAATCACATGACATACCCATCTTACCCTTACAGACTGCCCCAGGTAATCATGCCCCGTTTAAAGCCTTCCCACATACACATGGAAATCTGTCATGATGCTAAAGGAAGGTGAGCTCTAACCTGGTGCTCTTCAGGCTTCCCTCATCCAACTGGGTCTTGGTGGAGCCTTTGTTCTTCGAGAGCCAAGACTTAACGCCATCCACGCGGTCCTCCACCTCGGAATCTGTTTCTGTCTCGTCCCCACTGTGAAGAAACAACATCAGCTAGAGTTTGTGAGAAGCATCTGAGGCTCAACCCTCAACACAGTGAAAATATTCACCATCTCAAGTCATTTTTACAACGAGCAAAGAACTTTGTGGATGATTCCCCTTGTTTTTGATACAAACCACTTACTTTAAGAAGAATTGTCCTAAATCAGCTTCTTGAATACGCTGCCTTGCCTTAATCGGCCTTGTGCAACAATTCAGACAGATGCTGAGACGAGAACTGACACCAAATGACTTGATATGAGAATATTTGATGCAGTGTAACATCACAGTCATTGCTCGGGCAAAATAATAATTAGTTTTCACGACTGAAGATTTTTGTTAGTAATTTCACAATCAAAGCTTTTTGTTAATAATCATACTCATTCTCTTATAATACCAGGGGTCAGTGTGATGCAAAGCGATGCAGGCAGCTACAGGCGAGTATGATTATGTGATACAATAATATCCACATATTCAAAATGTTTTTCAACAGATGTAGATGAGTTAAGCAAATGCATTATCTAGGCAGAATGTAGATGAAGCTCTTGGAGGCATAATTAACTTGTCTGGCTGCTTCTGGGCTGCTAGCATCTGTGTGGCATGTCACCTGCTCCTGGTGATTGTTATTGGAGTAGAGCCATGAGCCAGCCCCGTGGCCCGATGCTTGACATAACAATCAATATACAGAGACCTGCGGATGGCGATGAAAAAGCACGGCAGATCCCGCCTGCATAAGCCCCCCCCCCCCCCTTCGTTCATTTGTTTCAAATCTGTGGTGCTTTCTCTGAATTATGCACCACATTGTCCTGGAAGGTTAATGTGAGAGTCGCTGCAGAAATCCCTTTGTTTGTATGATGATGTGTAAAAATACATCTTCATATTTCACATGAACAGTATAAAAATAAAATAAAAAACTGCACAAGGGCACATATGTTCTGAAGCTATAAACTACATTTGACATGTGTTACCATGGTAACCTCTGTCAGAGAAAATTACATTCTCCATGATATAGTTTTTGGTTTCGGAGCCAGACAACATCCTGTATATTAATATTACTGATGACAGGGGTGTTGAAGATTCCAATTCCTCTTGATTTATATCAGACTTTGAGTTTCATCTTCACTATTATTCACAGTTTTACACTTTCAGTAACTTTCAGAGCCGCGCTTCATCAGTCTAAAATATTTACCTTGTGTATCACTGAACTGTAGACATGTTTCATCTAGTGTCTACAGAGAGCTGCCTATCATTAAAAATGAGACGGCGATGCAGGTAACAGATCTTGTTTCTTGGACAAGCTTATCTATCTCAACCCCGGAACATGTTGCAAAAAGCTTATAACAAGCAAACACACGCAGGTGAGAGACGACAGCCACACTGCTGCGCTCCGTCATTTGTCCACATTCCACATATCCATCTCTGTGGGTCTCCCGGTGAGCAGGGTACCATTCCTTGTGTCACACATTCAGTCATGTTTCCTCAGAGAACACAGTGTCCTCTCCCCTCCCTTCTTTTTTTTTTCGGTGGTCTGACTAAAAGTGATTTTACACAATGAAACTGGTGCTGTGTGAGTTTTGTGACTGTCAGATTCTCGGGCTACGTAACATTCAGGCTTTCAAGCTTTCGAAGAACATTTACATATTTGACTTTCTCATCATCGACCTCTCTTACGGGAAGGTAATGATAATCCCAGTAAGACTAAATGGCCTGATTATATTATTTTCTCCACAAAAAGCTCTATTATATGTATGTGTATGTATGTATTATATATCACTTTATTTTCTCTCCTGTGCACTAAACACAACTGATAAAAGCTCACCACAAACAAAAAGATATCAGGTTCATTACTACTTGAAAGTTGATTACACATGCTGCCCATTTGTCAGCTCGGTGACGCTCTGACTTTTTAACATGATACATTACACAACACAACACTGAAGCCAGTCCACAGCAAAATCATCTCCCTCTACCCCTCCTCTTTAACACACACTCACACACACACACGCAAAATAAAAGGTGGCTCGCAATTGAGTGCTGTGCAAATGGTGTCACAAACGATTTGTCCTTGGCCCCACACTAGTAGCTAACCAGTCCTGAGGCCCGCAGATACAAACAAGCCCCAAGAATTTAGAAGTGAACATTAATCGCTTCTGACAATCGGCCTACACTGGTTGTAAATCTTTGTCACAAATACTTACACTCAGCATCAAATCTTGTATGGCTCCGTTCTATCACTTTAACACTTGTGGTAACAAAAGCATATTTTTACGGTATCCATTCAACATGAGCTAATTACATACTGACAATAAAAACCCACATAGGGTCTCGGTTTATGTTAATGAAAGCGTGTGCACTTGAAACACTTGATGTAATTCACTTCATACTCATGGATAATAAGCACCTTGTGCTCAAGGTGAAAGAAAATGCAACCACTATGGTCAGTTCGTGCAGATGGAGACAGTTTGCAGTAGTTAATTACAGATGTGATCGGCAAGTCTCTTTTCTAAAATAATAATCCTGTTATTGTAACCTCCTGTTTTGAAGCACTAAGTACAAAAATATTGAATAGTAATGTAAATCATCTGGAAAATCCACTTCATAATTAGAAGAAAAATCTCCCCCTCCATTATTGCTCATCCAAGCTGCTAATGCAATGATGTCGAAGGAGGGAAAAATGCAATTAAGTAAACATGGCGAATGATTGTTCTTTTCCTGGAGTTGCACAAAAAGAAAAGCAGAGCAGTGACACATGCAGGTTTCCTCATGACAAATGGAGAACATGACGCAAAGTGATAAAGACTGTGATAACCGTGTCTGTGTGAAGAAGCAATCAGAGGTTAAAGTGGGACATAATGGATGAGTATATGAGCTACAAACTGAAGACAACATTCCCCTAATACGCTCTGATGAAGGTTTAGATTATTTAACATGCCACAACAATTCCTTTCACTGTATAAAAACTGAAAGAAAATGTGATTTAGTCATTCAGAAGAACATGTTCAACATTCAAACCCGATGACAACGCATTTTACAAACAAGACAATATGTGGATTTTAAAGTTAAATGTTTCACAACACTATGAAATGAGATTGGATTAGTGAAGCACTTGCACGCATGGAAATCAACAGCTGAGTTTTGGGTGAAATCATTTCAGCCATCGCTGTCACGCACCACTTGCTGACTGTGCAGCCATGGATGTACAGTCACAGTGTGCTGCGGCCATTACACAGTCACAGGCATCGCTTCACACAATTGTGCAAAAGGCCTTTCAGAGCACATGTAAATTACTCCCACCACACTAAGACTGAGTCAGGGGCACAAAGCAGCTCATCTCTACAGGCCTTACTTTGAAATATAGAAAAATGTATAGAAATAGAAAAAAAGCACCTAACTTACACCACAGACACAACTGTCTAACACATGAATATAATGTCATTCTTGAAATAGCTTTAAAGATTAACTGTTAATATGTTTTGAAGTCAAAAACATGTTGAAGGGCTGTGTTCTTGAAAATGGAATTTCTAATTTTTCCATTTTTGCAGAAGCAACAGTTTCCCTGAATTTATCAAATGTTAGTTTTACTTTTAGTTTGTACTGATTAAATCAAATATAAATCTCAGTCTGACAATATAGAGGAAATCCTAAAGATGAAAACTATTGGTAACTGAAATCAGTTCATCTCAATTTAAGAGATTTGTTCCAGCAGCTAACACAGAATGTGCTGACATCGTTATTTCTGATTTCACATGGACGTATCAGAGACTGAGGACGTCTGTGCTGCCTTCACCAAACTAAGTGCTGCATGTGCTCTGGAGAAGCCACAGAAGAACAGACAAATCCAAACCAGTGCATGATGGGGTGTGATGATGATGATGGTGATGATGATGATGATGATGATGATGCAAACATAGCAGAGGATGATGGTGTTTGACACAAACATATTCATGGAGACAATGATGCAGTATTACTGTGGGTCTGTAACACCTTGAATCACACCGGCCTGGTTTACAGTCAGATTCTATTTACCACTCTGGTTTACATTTCCTCTAACACTGTGCAAACTGTCCTCTGTGCCATCAGAGTCTTCAAATAACTTCTTGTTGCTCTCAAGGAAGAAAAACAAGCCCTGGAATCTCCAGCACTGGGGACTGTGTAAAGACACTTGGCACAAAATAAAAAGAAACAGAATGAAACACTGGGGCCGTCCGTTAAGCATAGCTTTTATCAGAGATGTATACCAGAGGCACAGATTCCCATTCTCCCTAAATTACTTCTCCTCACTGTGTTACTGTGAACAACACAAACTGAAAGGATGAGGAATACTGCATTATTCTCTCTCATGGCTGAAATGGGTGAAAAAAAACAACTTGAAAACAACCATTATGACAAAAACAAAGGATGCTTTTTCCATTCTCACGTTTTGTTCTTTCTTTTCTGATATTTTGTCACCATGTCTTGCAAACTGCCAGAAGTGTGGAAAACACCCCAAAAAAAAGGGAACAGGGAAAAAGAGAAAAGAGAGAAGGTGAGATACAGACAACAGTGTAAAAAGAGGACAAAATGAGATAACAGCAAATAAATAGTTTTACACTTCCACACACACATAAAATAAATATCCATTGCAAAGTAGCGCCTCGGTAAATCAACTCATGCTGTTGCTGGCCTCCCTCTCAAACAGAGCCGATGTGTGTAATGTCTTCCTTTTAGAGGTCTGTATTATTGCAGTCAGTGTTTACCTCAGTGGGCTCAGAGCTAGTATAACCCTCAACCCCTCTGCAAAGAGGGAAGAAATAACCAAACTGGGAAAACCAGCGCAGAGACAAAAGATCAGAAGCAGAGAGCTGAATTAAACCATGTGAGAAGTATTTGGGGAACAGACAGAGTGTAGTATGACTCACAGCACAAAAGAGGTTGGAGGGAAACTGATGTAGGAAGATGTGGGAGACAGAGAATGAAAGATACAAGTTGAGATTGACAGGCCACTAAAAAAAAAATTTGGTAACTTTCTTGACGCTGTCTACAGTACAGTATCCCCCAATGTACCACGCATACCTTACAGAACATACCTGTTGATTAAGTCGTCGTTGTCATCGCTCTCCATCTCGTCCTCGATAGCAGCCTGCAGGTCACCTATCCTCTTGAAGGCCAGCTTAAGGTCCACTTGTAAGCTCTGATTTGCCGCCTCTAAGCTCTCGATGTCCATTTCCTGGTGAAATGGATCACAGCACAGAAGAAGTGGCTGTTATCTCCTGTAATGTAAACTCCAGTGAACCGCTTTCATGTCTCCCAGCACCTGAGGCCTTACCAGCTCGTGCTTCTTCCGGCTCGCCTCGCCCTCCTTCTTGGACAGCTCCGCCATCTCTTCCTTCATGTCCCTTATCTGCCTCTGTATTCGCTTATTCTGCTCCTTCTCCCTGTTTTCTGCAGTGATGCGCTGGTTTCTCTCCTCCGTCATCTTCTCCAGATTCTCCTTCAGACGACCCACGAGGCTCTGGGAGGGTGAACTTGGTCTTTACAAATCTCCCATGTGGATCAATGAACAACTCTTCAGCTAAATGTTCTCCTTTGTTCTGCAGTAACCCTCAAATATTTGTTCCTATCCCTCCACAGCTGGTGTGATTTTAACACTGGCAATAACACTGGAGGTAAGTGGTCAGTTTCTACCCACTCCTCGTTTCGTTTTTCCTACTTTAAGTGGTGTAACCAGCACACGAGTTCACGAGTGAACCATCATTGACTTTTCATTTCAAATGTTTCCAGCCAAACCTGAAACAAGAAAGTCTGCTATAAAATCCAGTTCTTGTCACCTTGAGCAGAAAACGCATACGCACAGTGACACTGTTACAATCATATTACATACTGTATATGAAGAGATATGAATTTCATGTGGTCACATATGACTGTGTTTTTTTATGGTACCGTCCTCTTATGAATCAATATATATTCATTCTCCGGTTGATGCTTTTCTTAACCAGCTCCTCAGAGATATGGAGCATTGCGAGCGACAACGCTCTGTACCCTCACTTTATATTATCTGTCTCTCAATATATGGAAAAATAAATATTACATTTGCCTTTATAGCTTCACACAGCATGTCTTTTACATTTTGCAAGACACAGAGGATTATCTCACCTCCAAGCGTTTGATCTGTGTCCTCTCATACTCCAGCTTGGTCTCCAGTTCACGGATCTTGGCCTCCTGACGGCTCACAAGAGACTTCTCCACCATGGACTGCTCTTGGAACTCGAGCTGGCTCTGCAGCGAATGAAGCTGGGGGAAGGAAGGATACATGCAGACATGCACATAAACAAACACCGTCACTCCCCGAGGAGCAGCACTTCTTGCATACCCCCTTCTTGACCTCTACTTTTCCACCTCCTCTTTCAGAGAGGACTGTGAAATACTTTGCGCTGATGTTACGTGTACGTATTAAAACTAAATTAATGTTCACTTTTTCACCCTTTTTTGTGTAGACTTAATCCATGTAAATATTGTGCATCCAGTCTGAATAATGAGCTCCAGATAAGCTTCCGATCTTCCACAAACGGTCAAAAGAAGAGCTTGTGGTTCAGGCTCAGTAACACCGAGTACCACAGTAATTTCACAGGCTTTGGGAAAAGGGCTGAGTTTCATGCAAAGCACGTTTGTTCCATCTAAATCGTTTTCTCATGACTGATAAAAGGAAGAAAGATACGTCACAACAACACCGGCCCACAAAGCAGCGTGGCACCTAATGAGGGAGTTTGCATCTAAGACAAGGAGGATTTGGAGTTCTCCTTTGATATTACTAAAGAAGGCAGCTTTCCCTCCCTGCTGGTGATGAGATAACCACTTCAAGGTCAGATGCTTTAGATGGCTATCACTACCTTCTCTGGCAGGTTTTAACAATGCCTTACAGCTTGTTGTGTGTCTCCAGTGTAACCAAAAATATTCTGACAGCTGGGCCTGGAGTGGACCAAAGCTTTGGCATGTGTATAGCTTAATATAATAGAAGCAGTGTCTGCTGTTAGGAAGTGGCAAGAGCTCTTGTGAAATTATATTTGAAATACATTCTGTTCAAGGCAGATGGTTTTATTTGTTTAGTCTACTGCATGTCGACAGTTAGAGAAAAACACCCCCCGAAAATCCACTAACTGTGAGCCAGAGTGTGGATAATGTGCATGCAAACACACACTAAAGATCGCCATATTCAAGCTAAGGTCATCTTCAAATTCATACAGCAGACAAATGCATCAACAAAGAAAATGGGCACACATTAATACATGACACACATGACATGTTAGATGCTATCCTCTAAACAAATAGTATTCCAGCAGAAAAACACTGTCATTATAAAAGCACTATTATCAACATAGGCTTCACTCATGTGCATTAACCTTTTTACAACATGAAACTACATTTACACTGAGCCTCACCTGAAGCACAGCACACTGTTACTGAACCAGTCAGCCCAGAAATAATCTAAATCACATGCTAATGTCAGTGTGCTACCATGCTCACAATGTTAACATGGTGATGTTTAGCTTGTGTCAGTTTGACCCTGTTCACCATCTAATTTTCACATTAGCAACATTTACACTAAACACAAAGGACAGCTGATGTCATCGCTCTTTTCTTTGATGTACCCACTCATAAACCAAAGCACTAGACAAGTTTAAATCGTGCTGCTGGATTAAAACTTCAGATATGATCAGAGCTGTTGAAACATGAATGTGAACCACAGCCACAGAGTTCATGACAATTCATCCAGTAGTTGTTGAGATGTTTCCGTCTGGACCAAAGTGACCGTGCATCATCACTACAACCACAAGGCTAAAGAGAAGCTAAAGCTTAACATGAACCGGACCAGTAACAGTTTGTATCAGATAGAAAAACATGTTTATGTCTTGTGAACTTATGTGATAGTTTAACATTCAACCAACACAGTGAAACAGGAACTTATACATAACTGAACCTTCCTTTTTAAAATAACAGCTTAAATAATGGCTGGTGAGTAATAATTTTTATATTTCACATTCGCTTGTAACCACAAGTTATGACGAGTCGATATTAAAATGCGGGTTATGATTCTGTCATCTTTGATTGTTCGTTAAATGTAATGGATATTAATTGTGTATCAGAATGTGAAAGTGGCATGGATCAGGAGTTTGACATTTCAAATATGACTCAGCTGGTTACGACTTTTTTCATGTGTGAGAGTAAAACGGCACCTTCAGGGTTTTTTCAGTTGATTGGAATAATCACATGACTCATGACTTTCATACTTATTTCCAATCGCCACCTTCTCATTTACCTGACAGTTTAAAAGTGAAACAAAAGAAATTAGATAAATTGCTAAGACAGAAGCTGCTTCATTAAACTGAGAGGTAATCATTGAACGGATCAGAATGAGTGCCCTTTTTTCATCTAATTGCTTAAACCATGGAAATGAGCAGCTGAGTTTATGTACATGACCCTTCCTTTAAATATGAGTAGTGAGAGACACAGGAACAATTTCTCTCCTTGACTCTAAATCTTTGCTGATTCCAACTATTTAAATGCAAATTGCTTTGCAATTGTGAAACGAAAGCCACCACCGAAACCAAACATTTTTTGGTCACAATAATCAGAGAAACTGTGAAAAGCTGAGGTCTAATCAGAGAGAAGTGTTGAGGCAGCGGGCACGTTCCTGACAGACAGCCAGAGCGCTTCTGAACACTTCCTTCTACCTTTTCTTGGATCTCCTGCTTCTCCTTTGTGGCCTCTTCCAGCTGGGTCTGCAGGTCAGTGATCTGGCTCAAGTCCCTGGCAGACTAGGACACACACACACACACACACACACACACACACACACACACACACACACACACAGACATACAAAGTCAATAGATGGAGAATTAAAGTATGTGTGTGTGTGAGAGAGAGAGAGGAAGTGTGATTGTCTGTGCGCGCTTCAATTATCTCTTAAAAATTTCACCTTTTATGCAAATGGTTAATGAACATGATCCGTCTGTGCCAGATAATTTGTCATGTGATCTACTGTCGAGCAGATTGCATCTGTGTGACTGCAGCACACACACTGTGTTCAGAGGGGAGTATGTCCTCCAAACCACAAAGCCACACATGCAGGAAAGAACAGAATGTTAATGCGGATGTTAGAGGAGGCGTCCCACCATGTTTCAAACTAAATCAGTAACAAACACAAATAAGTGAAGAAATGAAACTGTTTTGCGAGACGGTGTCATCCATTTCCTTCACATGGCTACTGGCCAGTTTCCTACCCGAAGAAAAGGAAGGTCTTAGCACTGATAAGAGAGGGACTTACAATACATTTCCAAGGCTTTGAATGGCTGACTGGGCTGGATGGGTTACCTGGGCGACTGCAGCCTTGTGTTTTTTCATCAGCTCATTCATGTCCTCCTGATCCTCCTCCATACGAGACTGCAGGTCATTCTTCTCTCTCTGCAGACGGCTGATCTGCTCCTCCGACTGCCAGACAAAGAGAGAAGGGAACGCACACACTTTAGGTTAGAATGACAGGATTTATTCATGAGCTACTGAATATGATAAATGGTCATTAGCTGGCCGGGCCGTGGCAGTTCTGGAATCTCATCTAATGGCAATGAAACACAATCTGGACAGGGTTCTGGCTGGAGGATGAGACCAATTGAAGATAATCAATTGGCTCATTTAGGCAGGGAAAAGTGCAGCCAGTGCAGCATACTGGTGATGTCCTATTTAGAGTTCATCCTCTGTGTTCAAGGGGGGAGACTCAGGCCCTCAATATGCATTCTCTAATCTGAGACATTTACAAGACCTTCCCTTGCCATAAATGCAGCAATTAACAAGCAAAGCACAGGCACACAGCACTCCGTGCGTCATCCCCAGAGACACAAACATCCTCAGTCTACACGTCTGAAATGCAGGCGCTGCTCTCATGAGACAGCAATTAATGAGCAGATGGAGGAAAAAAAAATTCGACAAAGCTTATTTATCCATTAGAGCAAAATGTTAAAATCAGACATATGCCAAAGGGCATTTATTATTTTAATATCCCACCATGGCTTGATGATGTACGCATATTAATGTTAGAGCCTGCTGCATTTCCAAGAGTGAGGATCCCTCCATGAATTAAATATTGTTTGTTGCTTTTGGTTTAATGTGTTCATCATCAGAAGAGCACGGGCACATTTACACAAACAATTTCTCTTATCAACATTGTGAAATAAAAAGGTATATTAACTATATTTCATTATTTATAAACGTGTGATATTATACTCATTATCCGATATGGCACAGACAAGCAACACACACAAACACACTGTGTTATGTGCAGAACTGATTGGCATTCGAGCCCACTCCGGGGAATCATTGGAACACGTGAAAACTCACCGACATCTTGGCTTTGACCACGTCCTCCATTTGGATATGCAAGTCCTCTATTTCAAGCTCCATGCTCTTTCGAGCTTTCACTGCTGCGGCGCAGGTGAACTCTGACTCCTCCAGCTGTGAGAAACAGGAGGGAAGAAAAGGTGGCGGGTAGGGGGTGAGGGGCAAACATTAGTAGGCCAAGATCAAGGCTCTGTCCTGGACAGACAGAAGGTTTATCAACCTGTGCATGTTTCTTTATTCTCTGAGAGCAGAGGTCAGGAAGTGTGTGTTTCTTTTTGTGTCAGAAAATATATCATAGATTCAGACATTCAAAGTGTTACAACAGACTGGCATACTTGATTTTTGAGCTGGGCGATCTCTCTCTTGCTGGGGGCGTTGCTCTTCAGGTGGTCCAGCATAATCTGTGCATCAGCCAGAAGGACTTTGGTTCTCTTCAGGTCTTTCTTCAGCCTCTTTTCTGTCTCCACGTCTCTCTGGCTCACCTGTCAATGACACACTCTGTTTTTTCTACCCTCCTTCAAAACCCACAGCACCTCTCCAGTCTCGAAAGCAGTTTCTTTCCAATCAAAAGAAGTGCCCCGGCCACTCCATCGCACACTTAACTGCACTGACAGAGACTAAAGAGGCAGACTTGTGGAAGTACCTGGTCCTGGGCGTTGAGCAGTCTGGACTCCAGCTCTCTTCTCTCACGCAACACTTTCTGCTTGTCTTCATACTCCTCCTCCAGCTGCACCTCCATCTGTTTCAGCTGCAGGACACATGCACACGGTGTCAGGATGCACAAACAGATGATCAGTGATAAACAAAGTCAGACATAACACACCATCAACCATCCTGTTAGACATGGCTGCTCTCACACATCAAAGACAAAGGGACGGGACCCCCCCGAGCAGATCTGCCACACAAACATCGCTTTGAAAAGAAAATCTTTATTCTATCAAATTCCATTTTTTTATATTTATCATGGATACAATTGCAACTGCACTGTTTGTATTCTAAGTTGGACTTATTTTGCATGCATCTACTGTGTTGGGTAAGAGTCTTAATAAATTGTGTGATTGCTGTTTCTCTGTCTAATGAGTGATGCACAGTCTCTGCAGTGTATAAACCAGGATTTATATTCGTGTACAGCACGAAACACAAACAGAAACTTAAAATAACCAATCAAGAACTAAAGAAGACCTTCTGTGAAAGAATCTCAGGCTACAATGAACTTACTCGTTCGTTCGGGGCAGCGATGTTGTGCCTGGAGGAAATTTTGACAAATAAATGAGTGAGAATAAGCGGTGCCTACCTTCTTGCTGCAGGAGTGCCTGATCTCCTCCACATCTTCATCCTTACTCTCAATCTCTTTAGAGTGTGTTTGCCGCTGTCTCTCCATCTCCATCTCAAGACGCAGCTTTGCCTGAGGACATGATGAGTGGACATGCATATAACAACACATCCAAAATTAGATATTTACTGTTTGTCCAAAATGAGACACATTCTTATAAAATGATTTCTTCAAAACAAAATAAATATTTCTGAAGGATATTAGGGCGGAGGGAAGCTCTTTGTGGAGTTTTAGGACTTCTACATCTGCAGCACCCTGTACCTGCTCCAGCATCTGGATGGTTCCAGCCTGTTCGTCCAGCTCCTCCTCCTGGTCTTTCACCTTGGCCTCAAGGTCACGAAGCTGCTTCTTGACCTTGGCCAGAGAGGCTTCATCCTTGGACTCCTGGGAGGACAGATCCTGCAGCTCGGCCTCCAGCTGCTGCACCTTCATATTTGTGGTGCACAATTCACTGTCTTTGTCCTGCAGGCAGAGGAGACACAGTAAGACACATCTGGACCAGCCCAGTTATGTCACACAGAGAGCAGAGAGACCAGACATGTAGTCCCAGCAAGAGGACAGCGGAGCGTCTGGAGTGTGTTCTGTAAAGTAGCTTACCTGCAGCTGCTGCCGGAGGTTAAACATCTCACCGGTCATTATATCTTTCTCTCGAGCCAACTTCTCCCTCTGGCTCCTTTCTCTTTGTACCTCAGCCTGAGACTGGTTCTGCTCCAGGTCAAATCTGGAACGCATGCACGCGCACACACACACACACACACACACACACACACACACGCACGCACGCATGCACTGAGAGACAGCAAAGGACTGGGGTTCTCTAGGTTGAGCAGTTGAGTATCACAGTGACCTGAGCAGGAGATGCATTACAACTGGGACATCAGGTCATTTCTCCTCCTACATTGAAATGATTTTGTGAGATTTTGAGCCTCCAAACTAAACGTGTAACTTCAGTCAGGAGATGTTCAGATCATGAGACCTTCCTCGATACAGAGCCCTGCATCAGCTCAGCACTACCTCTATTTTAGCCTCAACTGGTATCCTCTTCCATTAGACATCAATTTACAATTGGGTTGTAATAATGTGCAAAATGTTTTCTTCAATTGTCTGGGGCAGAAGCACTTATGGTTAGTGAACTTAAAAGCTAAGTGTTTCATGCTGTCAGCTCGTTGTAATTCCCTGTTTTTCTCTCTGAAGCACAGCTGAAAATAATTTCACCCACAGAGCATCTTCAATTAGCCACAGGGGAGAGATCACATTCTGCCACAGCGATAGCTTCTCAAGTGCTTAAAGTCTGAGTCATTTTCTCAGCTAATGCAATTCCACAGATTACAGAACATCTCAGTCACTATTCAAATTAAAGAAAACTTTAATGTTCTGCCGAGTGGGCTGCAGTGTCTGTGCTGGGCAATCCAAGGAGAAAAGAGCAATATGTTCCCTGTAATGTGTGTGTGAAAGCAAGACAGACAGACGGACGGACGGATGGACGGACGGAAGGACGGACGGACAGACAGACAGACTGATAGGAGAGGTAGTTGAAACTGACTTCCTCTGTTTCTTTTCCAGGTCGTGGTTGCGGCTCTGTAGTCCCTCCAGGTGAAGCTTGGTGTCCTGCAGCTCTGCCGTCAGTTTCTGGGACTTCTTCTTCAGCTGCTGCACAAAGCGCTGCACATCCTCATTATCTGTCTGCAAGTCAGCCAGCTGCAGCATGCACACACACACACACACACACACACACACACACACACACACACACACACACACACACACACACACACACACAAACACACATATTTTTTATAACAGTTTAATGCATGTCATTATTACATCTATACAACTAACAGGCTACAAGTGTGTAGTGATTTAATATTAAAAAAAAGTTTCTTGCCCTTCTCTCAAGATGTCTTTTGCTCTGTTGCTCTGTCTCCAGCTTGTCATCAAACTCCTGCTGGAGCTTCTTTTTGGTGAAGTCCATTTCACGAATGGCTCGGTTGTATTTTATCCTCCACTCGCCTCCTGGAGGAAACAGAAAGACGTACAATTCAGAAAAAGTCTGTGTGACATTTGGGTGTCTCCTGCCTTTATTGCAGGCCTAGCAGGGTGCACAGAGGAAGAGGCTCAAAAGCTCAGAAATGATTGATGCTGCGGATTATGGAGTGCACTGTTCTAGCTGCGATGGTTATCACTTTCAAGGACCAAAATAATATAATCTTTCAGGAAATAAAACTTCTTTCATCAAATCCCGACCTCATGAGGTCAAAGAATCCGATAGGAAAACTACAAAACAGCCTTTACTTTTCAGCTCTAATCTTGCTTAAACCTGAGGTAAGAATTCAGAGCACAGCACAATAGTAGTTAGAGAAGGACATGTCTAAGTGGCACTTTCCACAGTTCTTAGCCGACCCTAATTCTGGAGCTGTCAGAGGCTATCAGAACTATAACAGCGGCCAGGCAGACATTCAGGTTTAGGTTCATTCATTCAGGTTCATTTCCAAGCCTTATCATTTTAGAGGCTGTCCATTTCTCCTTCACATACCAACAGCGGCTCCTCCATCAGTGCTGCTCATTAGCATATATATAGCATAATGACAACTTGCAGGGCCACCGGCTCTGATCCCAACGATTATTTTCTCATTCATCTAAGAATTCTGATATGCTCTGTAATGGCTTGTCTGCTGAGGTGGGTTGAAGGGGGTGGGAACAGAGGAGAAAAGGAAAAAAGCCTTATGGACAATATGCTCTCTGCGGGAGCTCTCTTTCCCAGCAGGGGGAGACCAATCAGTAACAGGCATTAGTTGTATGCCTGAGAGCGAACATCTTAATCTCCTAGCGGTAAATCCCACACTTGGAAAATATACTTAATAGCATTACGCAAGATGTGACCAAGTTGAAGTGCCACGCCTCCTGCTGAAACAGTCCAACAAAGACAGACAATCATTCCTGCAGCTACAATTAGTATAAGAGAGATTTTTTCAAACTGTGCACATAATGCTGGTGCGAGCGCTTCAGTAAATGATGCTTGTGACCTGAGCTGACATTCCCACTGAGCACGCCTGGACGAGCTGCTGCAAGTGTCATAAGCTACAATTAATTAAGGAATTTAAAGCGAATGTTTGAAAATGCTGATGACCCCGAAAAGTCACCGGAAGTCACATCGCCAGTGTCGTCTTTAGTTTCTCTTCAAATCTTGGGAATAGGATTCAATACATGGATGGATGAGACTCTATGGCAGCTGTGGCATCACAAACGATAACTAACCAGCATCATCATCGTCGTCGTCCATCTCCCCATTGAGCTCCGATGTTTTCATGAGTCGAGCCTCCATCACCTCCATCTCCTGTGATTCTAATTGTTTCTTCATGGCGTCAAACTTAGCCTGGAAGTCACAGATTCAGTCACAGATTCAGTCATAGAGTCAGTCACAGAATCAGTTACGTTTAAATTGGAATCTTTGAAATATTATATTGTTCCAGTGTGTTTATATATATATATATATATATATGTATGTTAGTGTTTGTGTGCCTGTAAATCCTTCATGTCCTTCTCCAGGTGCAGTCTCTCTGAAGTCTCCGTCTCCAGTAACTGGGATGCTGACTCACTGGTGCTTCTCTCGTCAGCCAGCTCTGCCAATAAGTCTGAGATCTGGACACAAACAGAAACACAGAGACACACACAGCGTAAAGAAAAACTACTATGTACTCGCTGTGGCTCCACTACAAGTAACTGATCAAATCTTGAAGTGAAAGAAATTTAAACTGTGTTACTCAAACACCATCCTCCCAGCATGCATTCCCAAAGGTGAAGGGACCCACCCTGCTCTCCAATCGATCCGTGTTCAGTCTCAGCTCGTTTCGTTCTTTCTCCACCCTCTCGAGCTTCGACTTCTGCAGCTGTATCTCCTCCTGGAGCACAGAACACAGTGCACAGGTTACAAGTTATGTCACAGTTTAACTAAAATATTAGGTACTACAAGAAATATCAAAGGTTCATAACAGGAGCTGCATTGCTGCCAAGGCAGGTGGTGCATTTTGACAGCGGATTAGAGGCTGTCAAGCTCAGAGGAATCTATAAGTTGGGGTGTATCAGACAGAGAGGGCTACTCACATCTTTCCCTCGCATCTGATCCTCGGTGAGCTGGACCTTAATGAGGGGCTGGACTGTGGTGAACAGCTTCCACCATGGCCAGTCTTTCACACCGCGGTTCTTCTGGATGTTTTTCTGGATGCAACGGATGGCGAGATCCTGAATCTAAACACACAGAGAACAGTCAGCAAAGAGGAACACGTGGATGAATGTAGGTGTTTGTTGTGGTGTGCACACACAGCTACACAGATACGGTACAAAGTTGATGTAGTTAGTAGTAACTGAATTTGCAACTCAATTTTCTAAAACAAATAAATGCTTCATAATGAACACAGATAACAATAACTTCAGTCTGTGGCTTTAAATTTTGAATTTCCCCTCGGGGATAAATAAAGTATCTATCTATCTATCTATCTATCTATCTATCTATCTATCTATCTATCTATCTATCTATCTATCTAAATGCAGAATATAGAAACGAGTTTGACTGCAGACACCCCCGTGTGTCCAGACGTCCATGGACCAATGCTATAAAATTTGGAAAATCTTAATTACTTAATGGAATAAATGCTTCACAGAACTCCTCTCCTGTTACCACATCATGCTCACCACTGATGAATGACATTTGAAAAACACTGCATCCCTCAGTCTTGTGTTATATTGCCTGTATATGGGTGAACAGCTATCCCAGGACCTGCCAGCCTCCTCTGGAGACTTGCTGCAGAGTGCGTTCCAAGGCTGGAAGCTAATTTTTGATTAATTAAATCAAATATGTTGGCAGCTAATTCCAAGTATTACACGATTTCCATGCTGCTTATGCATGAGGCTCTCTAGAAGCAGCAGATTATGGGTAAACCCAATTAGAGCAACACAATTCTCAGAATCAGGTACATTTTGCCCTGAAGGTACGCTCTATGACCAATTAGCATTTGTCACACAGTGAAAACCTTAACATGGACCGAAATGCAGCAAATCTGTGACAGAAGATTTAAACAGGTCTCACTTGTCATATTTAGTCTAAAATGAATAGGAAACAAAAAAAAAGATTATACTACACAAGCACCGTGGCTAAACATTTTGGTATTCATATCACATTAAGAGGGTGTGACAACTGTAAAACAGCATGATGGGAATTAGGATTGTGAGCCAAGATTAAGACAAAAACACAGTTCCAATGCTCTTCTTCATATTCTACATACACAGTTATTTAATGTACAGTATGTGTAGGTTCATACGTCTGCTGACACTAAGACACCTGAGTGCTGCAGTATACGACTGTATCACCGTCTGATGTCACTTTGATCCCACACCTCAGTTTCTGGGGATTTCTTCAGCATGGAATCATGCCTTGCTAAAGGACAGCAGCTGAACCATCAGCAACATAATGTTTGACATGTCTGCCTTATATCATTACACTATCAAATGACTCTTCAATCCTGAAACACAAATATGTTTCCAAGAGCTTTAATCTTAGCTGTCTGCATTAGCATGGACTTAAAAAACTGCTTCACATTATACAGAGAAATATTATGTATAGTATTAGTATTCATGTTTCTTTGATATCAAACGTAGGATTGCATGTTTCAAATGAAAAGGTAAATGTTAACATTCAGAGTGTTGCAATGAAGGGTAAGGTTTCAAATCAATAGCTATAGTATTACCAGACTGAAGCTAGCATATTCTTGCTGCTTTACACTGATTTTAATGCAAATAACTGAAAAAAAGGGAAAGAAAACATTTGTAGGAGACCTGAAGGACAAAACTCCCAGTGCAGCAAGAGCCTGCTGAGGCAAAATAACAGACTTTTAAAATGTCAGGTTGTCCCCTTGAGGAGACAGTTGAAAGAGGAGGGGAAAAAAACAAGAAAAAATGTGCTTTTGTCATCTAGTGTCACATGGGCTTGGCACAGCTTCACAAGGTTAACATGCCAGGAAATATCAATCAAAGGAACTTGTGTGACTCTCTGTCTCAACACTCTGTAAATCTTGTCTGTGGAGAGAAGGGGAGATGGAAATTACTCAATAATCCACCACAGCCCAGCTTCTGTTCTACAACTCTGGTGTTGACTGGCTGAATCAGTAATAATATAAACAGAATGAGATTCAGTGTGAAGTCTGTTCCATACATATACCAGCTGGATAGCAATAAATCTAGCAAACTGTGTTGCAGCAGCATGTGACAAAAGGAGAAAGAAAGGGGAAGCAAATCGGCTTCAGCGCCTTACTTCTGATTTCTCTTCAGTCGCTCTCAGTCATTCATTCTCTCATTTTTTCTCATGTTTCGAAAAAGTTTAAGTATTCATTTAAAGTAAAAATAATCGGTCCTCAAAATTTGAGATTCATTCTATGTGTTTTATAGAGATATGTGAGTGTGTGTGCATGTGTGTGTGCTCTGCTGCCTGTCATTTTTTAATTATCCCACTGGGGATGAATAAAGTTCAGTGAATTGAATGGAATTAAAATGACAGATTTTTGAGAGAAACTGGGTTTGAAAGTGCTATGACAGTAATTTGCATTGACATGTACACAGTTTAAAGGGGCAGTATGTTAGTTCTCTCTGCCGCCAAACGCATCTTCTTGCTGGGAGCGAGTGGCGGTGATGGTCACTTGCCAAGAGGTTATAATACACCCTCAGAGCAGCGCTACTTCTCAAGGGCAGACTACAGTGACTCATTGTTGGAACGTGAAGAGACAGGCCAGCTGGGCCAAGGCTAGCAGGTTAGCATGCTAACTTCAAAGACAAAAAGCAAAACAAAAGTTGACATTAGTGTTTGTTTCCATCTCTGGAGACAGCTGTTAGCAAGTGAAGGAATGAAGTTTGATGCTGAACTCACAACAGCTGTTATTGCTAACATTAGCTATAGCTCCTTTACACTACAACATCCTGCAGCTAACAACTGATAGTCAGTGGTCGCCCTCATAACTGCATGTCACGCCTTGCCAAACTAAATTGAGCTTGAGCACAATAAAACTATGAGATAAAAATAAAGTTTTGTCTTTTCATTACAGGTCCATGTGCAGAAGACTGCCTCTTGCTAATGGATTTTGTAACTGCACAGTTGCCTAGCAATTCTGAATGGTGCCTCGCTGTTGATTCTCTTCAAGTTTCTAGCAGATGATATGAAGCATCAGGCTCCTAGCCCGCTTCATTGTAGGAATAATGTATGACCTTTGACCTTAATAAATAAATATATATTTATATAATACAAAAATGCACACACTCTCTTCTCCTCTTCAACTAATGTCCTTTACTACGGCAGATGAAAACATAATCAGTGCCACGGGTGCTCAGCTCCGAGGCACTCCTCTACAGCTAGAATAGCTGAGAGGATCCCCAAGGCATCTCTTAATATTCCTTCGGGCTTATTATTATTCTTCCGCCAAATTTTGGCGCGTAACTTGTCCCGCAGCTTTGAGAAAACCCCGGTAATATATACATCAAAACGTGCGTCTTGATCCCGAAAGAGTGCTATGACTTTTTGGTGTTAAAATTTCCAAATTTTTCCATAGTTTATTCCAAAATACTGGGAATAAATAATGCATTAGGAATGCATTGGAATTTTCTTTAAAAAACCCACAAAATTTCACCTTTTTTCTATCAAAATTTCACCTTTTTTTTGAGTCACCCAGCTCTCTCATACCTGGACGTAGAAATGTTGTCAAACTATAAAACGGAGGAAAACTTCTGCTCTCTCCAAAGCAACTGTTTTTACATAACATGTAAACTTTTCAAACTATGAGCACTCAAAGGAGGAGTGGAAATCACTTTTTCTTCAAAGTTAGAGTGACAGCGTCAGTTGGCTAGAGTGCGTGAAGCAGTAAAAAATAACCTTTATTTTTATTTTTAACTCGAGCTTACGGCCAAACCGTAAAAAGGAGACAAATAATTCTTTCTGAAAATGTAGACATAGTTGTTGGGATTCATAAAATGTAACTTTGACGGGCAGGGTCTGCACAAAATTTAAACGGGGGTGCCGAGTCCGGCAGCAATACCTGTCTCACTCTCATTGACACCTAATTGTAATCGTCTTTTTTTTTCAAAGAATCTCACTCTGTCTTCGCACTGAGCTTACTCACTCATTTTAAGGAATATCTGAATAAAATAGAGACCTGTAAGAAACTTCTGGCTTCAGTGTCTGTCACGGTGTTTTCGGTTTTTGAAAAGAAGTAACGGTTTTCTCATAACTTGCAATTGTTTTAAGCCATGTGAAGCCAAATTCTGGGCAGATTTTCACATTGCCATGGAACGGCAGCTCCTGACCTGTGTGTCGTGCGTGCGTGCGCCTAGCACCAAGATAACCAACTTCTCGAACAGGTCTGTCTAGCTTTACATTAGCCGCATGTTAGGTCTTAAATTACATTTAGTTAGGTCTTAAATATGTAAGTCCATTTACTGCTTCCTTTGTTGCTTTTCTTTTTGTTTTGTTAAATGAGTGAATGAAGTTGTGACGGTCTCCGCTGAGACAGAGGAGAGGAGAAGCTACTAGCCCTCTCTCGCTGTCACTTCTAGTCGCGTTGCTCTCCTCCCCAGTAATGTTAAATTTAGCACCGAAAAAAACATAATAGTGGTAATTTAAATAGCGGTTCATGGGATTTATTAACCCTCAGGGGTCCCTCTGTCCTTTTTTGGACATTTTCTTCACTTTTCTTTTTTGATTTGCTGATCATTTTGGCTGTGTTACAGCTGAAGGTATGGATTTCTGCAAGAAAGTGTCTTTTTTGACATATTTTTAAAATCTAATGTCAGTTACTGTTACAGGTCTATTATACACTGGTAACACATTTTGTACCCTCTGGGGTTCCTCGCGTCCAAAAAAGGACACACAAAGAAAATGCTATAAAATCATCATATATCAATATTTTTTCTGCTTTTTTTTGCATACATCTCTTAAACCACTTCAGTTCTGCTCAAACCTACCAAATGTTTATTAGTTTTCAGGATTTTAACCCTTTAAATGCCAGTTTGAAGACATGTTGCCTCTTGTTTTATTAAAAAACAACACAGAATATGAGATATTTCCCACATAATACATGATGGAGGGATGTGACATTGTTTTATATCAGAGTCTTTTATATCAAGACATTTCTCAAAACCAGAATATGATCAGGGTCACTTTTGAACACTGGAAATAAATCATGTACTCATCCCGGCAGTAGCCCCCGTGGCACTCAAAATTTCCCTGGAATTTTCTAGTTGTTTTACTGGCATTATACAAGTGAACAAGATCTCTACACTAACAGTATGTCGCAGTAGATGGAGACCAGTAACGCTGATTCTGTTTCTGCTGGTTCATCACTGCCCAACTGAGGGGGCACATTCATTTACAGTAAACAGTAATCACAGAGCGGGAGGACGACTGCAGGGTCCATACATCACAAGAGGACATGTGTGAGGTCCAGAGAGATGGACCCATCACACACTGGGAGGAAAATGAACGACGGTTGGAGCAGCATGTTTGATACTGCTGCATTTAAGGGGAGTGGTTTGATAAAAAGCAAAAGGAGCGGACGTGTCATTATCAAATATTCCCATGGGAAAGCCGGTTGGATGGATTACGGTACAGGACAATGGGGGAAGGGGCGAGAGATTTAGAGAACACATTTGTAATTAGCTGAAGATTTACAGCAGAGCTGGTTAGATCTGCCCCAAGAGCAGAGCAAACAGGCACTAAAATTAGCTGTGAACAAGGAACTCTCAACTCCTGGTGGACTCCGAGGCAACAAGCCCTCTGGAGCTCATATTCTACTTTATAAAAAAAAAAAAACGGCATAGCAGTAAAATGGACCTTGATAGTTTGTGAGCCTCTGCAAGCACAACATTTAGTTTTGCATTTATAATTTGTGTTATGCGACGTATCAAAATTTACCCATTTCATTTTTTTCTCATTCAAAAATGATAATTTGGGGTAAAATTTATGACAGAAAAAGATACTGTAAATATATCCTCTGTGTTTTCAGCTTGGACCAACGTTGGACAGAGCCTTTCATCTCAGCGTGACGTCCTACCTTTCTTTTCTTGAAGGCCTGCCGTGCCAGGTAGCCTCTACAGGCAGCTTGGAACAGGGTGAGATTACGCTTGGTCTGCTCATCCCTCTGTTCCTCCAGCTTAGCCAAAGTGCCAGCTCTGAAAAACAACTGGAGCACAACACACACACACACACACACACACACACACACACACACACACACACACACACACACACACACACACACCAGATCAAATTTAATTATTTGTAAAGAATGAAAAATGATTGAGAGATCATGTAATGCTTGTTTCAGCCATGGGGAAATTAGATTTAGAGGTCCTGCTCTGTGTGGAGCACAGCAGCAAAATAAAAACAGGAGTTAAAAAGTAAATAAGTGCAGTGAAGCAGTAAATCAATAAGAAACAGTGTAATCCATGGACAAGTGAGTCTTATCTAAGTGTGAAAGCTGTGATTAAGTTATTATCTCGGACAATCAGCCTTGTCTGTTTCTAATCTGGGCCAAAGGTAAAACACAGGTAAACAGCCAACAGGAAGCAGATCACGTCACTGCCTGTCTACACCTCAGAGGGATTATACTGTGAATGCATTCTAGATATGATGGCAGTGAACTATTAAAATGGATGGATGATGACAGAAAAACTGTCTCCAACCAAGGTCTCTCTGCACAAGTCCCATTGCTTTATGAATTACCAAATCTATATGTGACCTGTTAACAAAGCACGAGCTGGAAATGATCAAACAGCTTTAGTAGGAAATCTGCACACCAGTAGGAGGAGTGATGCATTCACTGGCATCAATGAAAATTGCTTTTCAAATTGCTTAGCAGGTCTTCAGCTGAAGCTGTTTTTTCATCGGCATCATCAAATGTATGTGGTACTTTCTAAAACGTACTGTATATAACTATGCTTTTTTTATATGTGGCAATCACTAATGGCAGATTTGATCTGTTAAGAGCTTTGAATCCACTGCTGTAAGCTTATTTGGGCCTGGTGTAATTGGCATGCAAGTGGGACAGGTTGCTAAGACACCAGTGGAATGCTTTGTGATGGCCAAATGCGCTTGTCTACTTCTGAGCCCAGTTCACACTCCAAAGTGCGGCACCATGGGAAGCTGCCTCCAAATCATTCTTGTGTCATGTGTTCTACACTGCACATATCTGGAGCATGAGTCCCACTGTTTTCTACATTATTGTTTCCTTTGATTTCCTTCTTGGCTGATGGCCACTTTTCCAGCTGATAGGATTAGACCTCAGTGTGCCAGCCAGTGTTTACTGTGATTACTTTACAATGGTCGTGGTGAAAAACAAAGAGAGCCATCAGTTGTGAGAATTTGCTCTAATGACCTGAAAAGAAAGAGGGAATTATGGTCACATAGTCGGGCAGAGCAGAGACATGCCTCTCAGGTAGCCATTGGCTAAAAGCCTTGGCAACTCTCCAAAAAGAGGGAAGGCAAACAAACGTCAAGGAAGAACAAGTGTACTGAAAGACACACTCCCCCAGACAGCCAGTGTCCTTCAAAAACATAGAAGAAGAGAAGGAGCTGTGAACTGCAGCTTTGTGTTTCCAGCTTTAAGAGAAGGGAAACTGGCAGCGAGTCACACAAACCACACACAAAGGTTTGTACAATCATTTTAAAGCTGTGTATTGATTTGAGATGTGATGCCATTACTCACTCTGCTCAGACCCATGTGGTAGCTGCTCTTCTCCAGGTCCAAGGACTCCAGTAGCTCCTCCACAGCCTGGGCAGAGGCACACACATATACACACACACACACACACACACACACACACACACACACACACACACACACACACACACACACACTTTCCTTCAACTGCTGCATCCAGTGGGAACTTAAACCAACACAGCAACAGTTCAGTAGTCCTCACTTCAGTTCAGTAGTCCCAAGTCACCATCCTGAACTAATGATACAGTGCAGTTTTCCTGACTGACGTCAGAAAGTAACAAAGGAAACACAGGAAAAGTTTGGTTCTCCAGAACCTCCCAACCCCAACAACAAACCAATTACAACTTGTCCCACACAATCCACCTGCTTCTGGCTTATTCCTCATGATCCCCTTGTGGTCTTGCCGCGTTTGCAGCTTTGAACATACATAGTCTACGCAGAGGAGCACCATCGGCCAGCGGGGAGCCACTCCTATCTATCAGCCTGGGTATACTGTAGGTGTATTATTGTCTTAGCCTCTTCTCTCCACTTGAGCCCCCAGCCTGAAACACCACATCTAGATTACAGCAGGAAAGGTTTGCCATGAGCACTAAGGGGCTTTTGTTTGCCAGTGTTTCCACAGAAACTCAGCCCCAATACACTGACACAGGGGAAAAGAGCTTTTCTCCCCCTTAAAACCATTCTTTCACTCTTTCTCTCATTTTCTCTCTAGAAACAAACTTTTATTTTTATTTTTCCCTCCACTGCACTTCAGCTCTTGCAGAGGACCAGTGCAGAGCACACCCTCACTGATGGTTGACTTCTTAGACTAAAACTCACACCAGGTTTCCTCTAAAGCTTTTTCACAATCATTATTCCTGAATTTAAAACAAAAGCACTAAAGAGCTGAAGCGACTGTCAAAGCCTCAGGGGAAACGAGTTTCCAATGCCCAGATGACAAAGGATGGAGAGTACATCTATCTGAATGTTATTCTTTAGCTCTGAATGCAGTGAAGCTGATCTGCCTCTTTCACTGGCATGATACTGATGAGGTTAAGTTGATTAGATCATTACAATAGCTCTGACAAATGCAGGTTTATTTCTCTGTCAGTTGGCTGCTGACAAATCAGGGGCAGACGTAATGAAGCTGCCTCTTCACAACATTAATCTTCACTGTGCTGGGCAACTGGCAGAGCAGTACATTTCACTGATTGACTTACTCTCCTCTCGTCCTTCACTATGTAATTCCTCCCGTGCTTCTTGGTGAGGTGCGGCGCCAGCACATCGAAGCGCCGCCGAAACTCAGAAAACACCATGTGATCAGGGTAACCTGTGAAGGTCAGCATTGGATAACAACATTACATCCTGCAAATATTTCTACACACTGATGGGTTGGGGTTATGGACAAGGAAGTGTGTATTTCTAAACCTGTCCTTGGTTGTTATTGAAGATGCTCCCTCACCTTGCCTGTAGATCCGGAGAGAATCGAGCAGCTTGGAGCCACGCAGCTGAGCACGGAGCAAAGCTACATCTAGCTGCATTAAACCAGGATCTCCGCTCTCCCCCTGAGCCTCACATTCCCCTCCTTTGTACAGGGATCCACTCAGAGCCTTCAGGGCATCTGCTTTGGGTAAGAGGCAGTGAACAAAGTGAATCCTGGACCTGCGCACCATGTCAAGGAGAGCGTCCTGGAGAAGACAGAGAAGAGTCAAGAGAGACTAGTTAGAACAGGCCAATGTAATGACGTATATAATCAGGAGATCAGCTTCTTTACTTTTCCTTTTACTGTTGACTGAAAGTTTGTAAAGAATTCTTCTCCTTTAACATCCACATGAGTTAAATCTACTTATTCTGTACAATCATGTTTCTCAAGCACTTAACAACTTTATGACAAATGCTGGAAGACAGATGATACATTTTTATTTTATTATGTGTGTTTCTTTATACTGTATAAGTTTAATGTTAGTTCCATATAAGGCACATTTCCTTATAAGGCTTTCATTTCCTGACTTTTGTTGAGAATCACACATTTTAGATTAAAAACTAACGGTCCATATGTTTATGTTGGACTATGGGATATTATAGTTTTGTTTAGCCCTTTCCCCTCTCCTGGTTATTGCTACTTTATCTTTAAGAACCAGCTTTAGGAGCACAGAGCTCAGTATCCCTCTGAATTTCACACTTCACAGTTTACAGCCATAACCGTTCCATATTTCACCAAAATTCATTTGCCATAAACATGATGTAAACGTGATGATATGCAGAATTTGTTAATGGCATGACACTGGATTTAAAAAATGTAATCTGGGGTTTTGCAGAATTATTTCCTATCAATATTCCAGTCAAGCAATGTGCTTGGAAGTTCAATAGCTGCAGAGCTGTTCTCATAGCACACTAACACCAGGCTAATATCATTTTCAGATTTATCTCAGGCTGCAGCCCGAACACTGGCCTTCATCCCATCCATTTCATTTAAAGCTGCATCAAGCCATTTGTGACTGTTAAACAGATTCAAAAATCTACAGCTATGAGTCTTTATATATTCCATCTGTCCAGCTTCTACAGTTAAACTGGTGGCATCCAATAAACTGAGCAGCGTTGATTCTCGGTGGGCGTGGCAGTACTAGTACATCACAGGGACTCAGCTGTGTTAATGTTAACAGTGTTACTAATGGAGCTTCAATAGTTTGATGTCTTAATTTTCTAATTAAAGATCGACCAGCTGGTATAGTCACACGTCCAGCTCCCTGCTGAGGTAATAGTGGACAAACTTCTAAAAGAGACGCTTGACTGGCTGATTGGCTCCATCCTCTCCTCTCACCACTTGAAGCTTTATCTGGATGCACAAGGACTTCTTCTTGATAGCAGCGACCCCGGTGGTGAAGGTCTTTCTCATGCTGGTGGCCCGTCGCAAGGACAGCTGGGAAACACCTTCAAGACCTGCAATGGAACCAGACAAAACGGTGGCTCCAGCCGCTCGGGTCATGAACAGTGAGCTGATGATCTTCCTGCAAGAGATACAATCCCTCAGTGTGAAGCTCTGTAATAATCCACTACAGTAATATTTAATGTCCATGTCCCCAAAGATCAGACTCCTCCTGCATGTGCGGTTCTTACTTCTGGGAGTCCTGCAGGAGGCTCGTAGCGTTGGAAGAGGCAGGATTCTGCTTGGCGTAGTTCAGCCACCCAAAGACGTCGTACTCCACCCAGTCGGTCCCATGACTGTGACCAAGCAGGAAATGCTTTTCCTTTTCACTCTTCAAGAGGAAAGTTTGACCTGATGTAAACGTAGGAGGCACTGTGAGATCCGCTGGCTCGTTGTACACACACATACAGAGAGAGGACAAAAGTATACAGTCTGCATGAAGGGTCTCCTAACCTAGTTCTTATGGACTCCATTAGTCTGTCCATGCAATTTTTCTGTGCAATGTTTAGATCCCTGGTATTGTATTCTCATTATTATGCAGTGGTCTTCCTCAAATATGATCTGGTGGAGTATCAAAGAGATCACAGAGACAACCTCTTTTCTTTCCTGGTGTCTTTTTAGAAGCTGCCACCTTGGCAAGAGTTCTCCAGGTTGCCAACAATGTACACAGAGAGGATTTCTATCACACAATTACAGTAATACTGGTCATCGTGTTATATAGTGCATTGTGTTGGTATGAGGAGCATATTCTCCATGTTACAATACAGTGTATTGATACAAGTCTCAAAGATGTACAACAACACGTGGAAAAATATCTTTATCTAAAATGAAACTTCTAACAGTTGGTAAATATTGAGCGTATAGAGAGTGTCGAATGAAGAATGATTCTGTTCTCACAAACCATCAGAAATTGCAAATTTCATGCTACAACAACAAAGATGAAAGTTGTCAACATCATTAATATTAATATAACATGCATTATATTCGGATTAAATATTCATATTAGGTCTTTTTAGTTAGAAGATTGTAATTTTCTGCCAGTTTCTGTAAAGACCATGAGAACGCTCGCAATGCTTTGTATTAGCTGTGTGTGTGTGTGTGTGTATGTGTGTGTGTGTGTGTGTGTGTGTCAGCGTGTTGTCTCCTTGCCTTTGCTCTCGCCCTCAGCAGGTCCATAGTAGCTGAAGAGACGTCCCAACAGTGTTTCCTCTGACCCCCCCGGCTGCAGTGCCTCCTCCTCCATCAGCCACAACAGACCACGTGCCTCATCTGTCCGAACTGTCCGCACCTGTGATAAAAACACGAATACACACAGACACACACACAAAGGTCAGAACTCGTTGTTGTTTTACATGAGCAGAAATGACTATGTCACTGAGACTAACAAAGACTGAAGCTTTTTTATGTCGGCCTCTAGAACGATTCCTAACAGTCCCCATACATTACAGAAACCTAGAGGGTACAACACAGAGTACAACAAGTAACAAAGCACATCGCTACAAGGACATTTAGCTGACTATATTTAATGAGAACATACAGACGGATCAAAGGATTTTCAGCCTTTACTGTTTATCCTGCTGGGTGCAGAAAAAAAAAGCAAGATACAGCTTCTAATGAAACTCTGGCCTCTATAGCCAGAGTTTCATTAAATATTAGCTGCTCTCCTTAATGTCAGTAAAAGGAGTTTGCTGAATGTTTCCCCAGTATGAGTCAGTTGTCACAGGCCTAATATTAATATTAGCATTGGAAATTAAACTTTCAAAAGCATTTGTGGTCTATGTGCCCTTCAGCAGTTGCTACAATAATAGCACTATCAATTTAGTGTTTCCTTATAATCTAACTGGAAATAAAATGAATATGAGGAGTAGTGGGGGAGAAGGGATTAAAAAGTAATACAATTAGTATTTTAATTAGTGTGAACACAGAAAATAAAATAAAACCCACTCCACCACCGATGATCATGGAACAAGAGCTTGGGAAAGGTTTGTGTTCCCTTCTTTTGGGACACCAGTCACGTAAATGTAAATGGGACCTTATTGGGCCGTGCAGCACACACATTAGCATCAGTAGCATATGTTTAACCTGTTACCAGACACAAGCCCAGAATAGAATGTTTACTGTTCTTCATCCTTTTCATCACCATCATATGTCTGTGATGAGAAGGGTTTCAATTTTACAATCAAAAACAGATACTGAACCAAAGTTACTGAGGCACAAACATGATAGAAATTCAAGGTTTTTTTTTTTTACCTTGCCTAGTTTTTCTGTCATAATATCATTTGACAACCAGGAAAGACTGGATAGCAGCAGGGAAAGACCGCACTGGGAGTGGGCGGCTAGTTACCCAACCCACTACTCTCTCGTGAGAGAGACACCCAAACCTAAGTACAAAAAGTCACAAGAGAAAACAACCCGCGGGCCCTCCGAGAGGCGGGATGAAAGATGGGCCCAACAGGACGGACCACACGGCGACGACGACAATGGAAACGGACAACAAGAACACCAGAAATCCACCAGGGGAAAGCAAAGTGTGGTCAGAAAGGCCATCAGCAACCTTGCACTGCGACAGCAGGTGAGACAAGAGGGACCAAACGCCGGGGTAAAAACCACAGAGCCAATGGACCCAACGTCGCTGAAGGCACAAGCGTCACAGAGGAAGAAGGCCCTCTGGTGGAGGCCGAGCCCCCACGTGAGCACGAAGACCCAGTCCTCACCACCTCAGACAGAACAGAGCCAAATGCAGAGTCCAAGAAACCAGTCAGAAGGAGCAAGCTCAAATGGCTGAAGTTAAACGAAGCAGAGGCATGGCGCACTTTGGACACAGACCTGATCAAGATCTTAGAGGAATCACTGCATGGAGGGGCTGAGTCTAAGCTTAACCAGATTGGAGACATCATATACCAGACCTGCAAGGACAGGTTTGGCGAAATTGTCCTCAAACAGAGGACCGCCCTGAGAGAGAAGGGAAGGAGGGAAAAGGAAATCCTCCAGCTGGTGCAAAGGCGTCGGCACCTTCGCAAGAACTGGAAGAAGGCAACCCACGCAGAGAAAGAGAGTCTGAAAGCCCTGTGGGAGGAGGTCAGGAAAAGACTAGCCGGGCTTTGCGGAGCTGAACGCATCCGCAAGCGCAGCAAGCGGAAGCAAAAAGAGCGAGCCAGCTTCTTCAAGGATTCCTTCAAGCACGCCAGACAGCTGCTGGAGGAAAAGAAGAGCGGCAAGCTTGAAACCACCAGGGAGCAATTGGAACAACATGTCAAAGAGCAGTACAGCGATCCGCAAAGGAGCGTCCCCCTAGGAACACCTGGATACGTACCTCGGCCTGCACAGCCGACAGATGAGTTCAACATCATGCCCCTCAAGCTCAGTGAAGTCAGGCAATTCGTGGAGAAGGCAAGGTCCTCTTCTGCACCAGGCCCCAATGGAGTCCCCTACAAGCTCTATAAGAACTGCCCCAAGGTACTAGAGCTGCTATGGTACCTAATGAGAACTGCCTGGAAAAAGCAACTCATCCCATCCGAGTGGCAAAGAGCGGTAGCAGTTTTCATCCCCAAGGAAACAAACTCCAAAGACATCGGCCAATTCCGAAACATCAACAACAAGGAACGATCTTCTTCTCAGTGCTAGCCAGAAGGATGACCATCTACCTGCTGGAGAACGGCTATGTCGACACCAACTGCCAGAAGGCAGGGGTCCCAGGTTTCCCAGGATGTGTTGAGCACTCCACGATGATCTGGGACCAGATCCAGAAGGCCAAGCAGGAGAAGACTGACCTGCATGTCATCTGGCTCGACCTTGCCAATGCGTATGGATCAGTCCCACATCAGCTGATCAACTACGCCATGGAATTCTTCCACATGCCCACCTGTGTCAAGAACTTGGTAGCACAGTACTTCAGCAACCTGCAGATGTGCTTTTCCCTCCGGGATTTCACCACCGGTTGGCAGCGGCTTGAAGTAGGAATCGCGATGGGGTGCGCCATTTCTCCAATACTGTTTGTAGCAGCCTTTGAGATAATCCTCACTGGGTCAAGGCAAATGGTTGGAGGGATCAAACTGCCAACTAGTCAGAGGCTCCCCCCACTGAGGAGCTACATGGACGATGTCACCAGCCTCCTACAGACAGCAGCATGCACATCAAGACTGCTGAAGAGGATGGACGAGTTGATGTCATGGGCAAGAATGAGGATCAAGCCCTCCAAGTCTCGTAGCCTGTCACTCAGAAGAGGAGTCAGAAATGACAGCACCACCTTTGTCGTTGGAGGAGAAAAAAACCCACTCCTCTCAGAGCAACCCATCAAAGCCTGGGGAGGCAGTACACTGCGGAGCTTTCTGACAAACAGATCGGGAAAACCGTCATGAAACAGCTCTCTGACGGCCTAGCAAGGATCGACCAAAGCCAACTCCCTGGGAAGTACAAGGTCTGGTGCTATCAGTTTACTCTCTACAGGAGGGTAATGTGGCCCCTGAAAATGAGTGAGATCCCCTCATCGACCGTGAGTAAGATGGATGGAAAAGCCAACTCATTCATCCAAAAGTGGTTGGGGCTGCCACAGTGCCTATCTGAAGCCAGTCTCTTCGGAATAAATATGCTGCAGCTGCCACTGCAATCAATACAGTTGGGCTACATGCAAGAGAAGACCAGATTGGTTCTCGAGCTAAGGGAGTCCACAGACGAGTCAGTAAGGAACGCAAATGCCAAGGTTCCAACTGGCCGCAAGTGGAATGCCCAGACCGAGGTCGACCAAGCCGTCGGTCGGCTGCAACACTGGGAGATCATGGGCAGAGTCCAGGCAGGAAGAGCAGGGCTAGGATGGGGAGAGGCGCCACGCTTTTGGTCCAAGGCCAATCGCAAGGAGAGGAAGGAGATGGTGGTGGCAGAGGTGATGAGGATGGAGGAAGACCACTATAAGATCAAGGCCGTGTCGCAGGGTCAGCTAGGAAGCTGGACAACCTGGGAGGGAATCGCGAACAGGAACATCAGTTGGTCAGACGTGTGGAAGATTCCACAGGCAAGGCTCAGCTTCCTTATTCGTGCAACCTACGACACGCTTCCCTGCCCTCGGAACCTTCACCAGTGGTTTGGGAACGAAGAATGCTCCCAACGCAAGCCTCCAGCACATCTTGTCAGGCTGCAAGATCGCGCTCTCACAGGGGCGCTACAGATGGCGCCATGACCAGGTCCTGAGTAAGCTAGCCGAAGTGCTGGAGGAGTGTCGTCAGGGTAGCAAAGAACCACCATCAGCAGAGGATCCCACCATCTTTGTCTCGGAAGGAGGTGTAAGGAGAAGCACCAGGCCGAGAGAAACAGCAAGGCCTTTCTCCCCCGACCAGGAGTGGAACATGAGGGTTGAACTTGACAGGCAGCTCCGGTTTCCCACGGAGATCACCACCACATCTCTCCGGCCAGACATAATTGTGTGGTCAACCAAGGCAAGAGCTGTGCACCTCATCGAGCTCACAGTACCACTGGAGGAGGGGATTGAGGCTGCCTTCGAACGCAAGAAGGCCAAGTACTCAGAGCTGGCTCCTGAGTGCCGGGAGGCTGGCTGGAAGACTACCATCTACCCAGTGGAGGTCGGATGCCGAGGTTTCTTGGGGCTGTCAACCACACGCCTCTTGAGGGATGCAGGAGTGACCAGAGGGAGGTTAAGGAAGGCAACAAAGGACCTGGCAGAAGAGGCTGAAAAAGGGAGCTTTTGGCTCTGGCTGAGGAGGAAGGATAGGTGTTGGGGGAAGAACACCTAACCCCAGATAACAGCCGCAGGGGAGAACACCTATCAGCTGCAGGGGGTGACAGGGAGACGTCCCTGTCACTGCTCCGCCACCAGGAGACGTACCAGAATTAAAGGAGCGAAACGTTGGTGAATGTTGGTTTCTGGCTGATGATCCTGCAGCTGACCCATGGGCACCGGAGGAGGTGCGACAGGCAACAATGCCCAGCAGGTGGTAACATCTTCCTGTACAATCACTGTGTGGAAAACACTTTGGAGTCTGAAGCAATTCTGTTTCAACAGCTGTTGACGTGATACGAGGATCAATCAAAGCTTTGTTCAGATTCCCCCGTCTTCAATCAGACTCAGAGCTTTCAAACATTGTACAATTTGTCCAGATGATGTGAAGACTGAGTCCAGTACAAACCAAACACCCCTAAAGTACCGAAGTCAAAGCATCACACGGGTTCATTTATGTTTCCAGAATCAAACGGCATTCATACTTACAGTGGTAAGAAAAAGTATGTGAACCTTTTGGAATGTCATGGTTTTTTGAATAAATTTGTCACAAAATCTGATCTGATCTTCATCTAAGTCAAGGGTATTCAGAAAATATAATGTGTCTAAAATAATAACACAAGAAAAAATCTGATCTTTTATGTCTTTATTGAATACACTCATTCAACATTCAAAATGGCAGTGGAAAAGGTAAGTGAACCCTTAGAATTAATAACTGGTTGACCCCCCCTTAGCAGCAATAACCTCAACCAGGCGCTTCCTGTAGCTCTGGATCAGAACTGCACATCGTTGAGGAGGAATTTTTGCCCATTTTTCCTGGCAGAACTGCTTAAGCTCTGCCATATTCTTTGGACGTATCATGTGTATGGCTCTCTTCAAGTCAATCCATAGCATTTCTATTGGGTTGAGGTCTGGGCTCTGACTTGGCCACTCCAAAAGGCGGATTTTGTTTTTCTGGAACCATTCTGTTGTGGACTTGCTCCGGTGTTTTGGGTCGTTATCCTGAAGATTTCTCTGATAAACTTGGGAATTCATCTTCCTCTCAATGATTGCAAGCTGGCCAGGCCCTGATGCAGCAAAGCAGGCCCAAATCATGAGGTTTCCTCCACCATACTTTACGGTTGGGATGATGTTTTCATGACGATATGCCATGCCCGTTCTACGCCAGATGTAGAGCTGGGTGTTTTTTCCAAATAGTTCAATCTTAGTTTCATCAGTCCACAAAACATTTTGCCAATACTGCTGTGGAGTGTCAATGTGCTCTTTTGCAAACTTCAGGCGTGCAGCAATGTTCTTTTTAGTAAGCAGTGGCTTCCTTCGTGGTGGCCTGCCGTAGATACCCTGCTTGTTCAATGTTTTACGTATTGTAGATTCATGAACAGAGATGTTAGCCAGTTCCAATGATGGCTTCAAATCTTTGTCATTCGGGGTTGTTTCTTTACCTCATTGATGAGTTTTCGTTGTGCTCTTGGTGTCATTTTGACTGGGCGTCCACTTCTTGGTAGAGTAGCAACAGTCCCAAAGTGTCTCCATTTGTATATTGTTTGCCTAACTGTAGACTGGTGAATTACTAAAGTCTTTGAAATCACTTTGTAACCCTTGCCAGCTTTATGTAAATCAACAGTTCTTGATCGTAGATCCTCAAAGCTGTTTTTGGCGAGGCATGGCTCACATAAATGTGTTCTTCTTTTGCAAAACAAACTCCAAAAGTTTGAGGGGTTTTTATCAGTCAAAGTAGCTTTAGTCCACACCCCCTAACTCATTGTCTTAACGAGACTCCAGGTATGCTAAAACCTGACACCAATTAGCTTTTTTGAGGTCATTAATTCAAGGGTTCACATACTTTTTCCACAAGCACTATGAGGATTTTTTGGTTATTCTCAATAAAGACATGAAAGATCAATTTTTTTTTTTTTGCGGTATTATTTAAGACACATTATATTTGTCAATACCCTTGACTTAGATGAATATCAGATCACATTTTATGACAAATTTACTCAGAAAACCATGAAATTCCAAAAGGTTCACATACTTTTTCTTGCCACTGTACATACACACAAACCAAGGGTTTGAGTGTTACACTTTCTGGGTAAAGTTGTAGAATGAGTCATAGTTGTTCCAGTCCACTCTAAGGTAACCAGCCTGGTAAACTAATGCCTGAATGCACCCTGGGAACCAAATCCACAAAACCAAGAACTGTTTAAGCAGCTATCTGGAAGTTACACTGGAGACATCCTTATCAGCAGTGTACACTACACTGGCTGCAAATACAACACAGTATCAGTTTGGAGGAGACATATGACATCTATGAGGCTTGCAATGAATTGAGCATTAAGGCGGTTTGTGATAACGGACATCTGGGCAACAACAGAAAAAAAATCATCTGACAGTGAAAGAAAATCTTTGATCAAAATGTCTTTTCCTTCTAAGCGGCGGATCTCCAGAGTTGACTTTAGAAATGACTTGAAGGAATCAGTGTTTTTTTCCCCTTTGGTTTGTATTGTGATGTACAACAGTTCACTGCTTCTGATGACGTTCCCATTACAGTGGGGACCATTTTAAAAGTGCAGCACTCAAATCAAACGTCTTGGAATGATACCAAAGTGATCTACGACTCTCTAAACTCTGCCATTTCTGTTTCCATGGTGCACATCACAGGCTGTAAAGGCCAAACATTGATTTTCTTTCTTGAAGTCAATTCTCTAACCTTTCTTTTCCTGCTGCTTCCCTCTCTTTCTAGCCTGCCAAACAGCACCATTCAATATTCAAAAACTCACATAAAGAACAAAAAGAAAACATCTAATGCTTAAACCTGATATTCATTGTTGAATACAAACAGGGTGCCCAGAGAGCACTGTGTGAAAATAGATCATGAAAGGCATGCAAGTCCCTCAGCTGTTCAGAGAAGCAGTTATTATACAAATACCAGATTTATACATGAAAATGTCAAGAAAAAATAAGTGACTGTGCAAGTCAGAATAGAGTGTAATGTTAATAGAGACAATAAAGCATTGAACTCACCAGCGCTTGGCTTGAGGCTTGGTCTACCACTGCCACAGAGAGAGATGTGCTGGGCTCTGAGTCGTCTAAAGCCAGCTCTATGTTCTCCTGCATGAACACACACAAGCACGCTTATGGGAGACGTAAAAAGATGAAAAAATGAATTTCCTTATATGATTTATTCAGTATCTGATATAGTCTTCAGCATGCAAGGCTGGTTAATATCTTTCTATGGCTCTACACTGATATGTTTAATCAAGGGGGGTCTGACATATGTGTCATGTAGGTGTTAATGTACATGACAAGATATAAAAACCTTCTTCTCAGTGCATTTAAATGGGACAGTTACCTACAGTGTCTAAAGACACCCCTTGATCCCGTGAGTGCTCTGAGACACCTGTGACCCCCGCGCACATGGATGTTGATTTCAACAAGGTATCCTGGGTCACACATCTAATCGATAATCAATGGATGAATCCTGTCAATCATTTGCTGTTTCCAGCTTCTAAAATTTGAAATTTTATTTAATGTCAAAGCAGGTGTTATTTCCAAGGGTTTTTATGGATATTAAAAAGTAATTCATATTAAATGTAAGAAAATCAAAAGCATCAACAAATCTATTATAAGAACAAGAACGCCTGGCATTTACTGAAGCAGCTTTTCCTATAGGTAAATGGAAAAGCTAACAGATTTCATTACTGCTGCAGATGACAACATTTGCGGAATTAAGTGGAAATAATAAAATAATAAATTACCTACACCAGAGCAAAACAGGCATCCGGCAGCTCACAGTAACTACGTGTATGCTGCACAGGAAATGTGGGAAAACGTTGGCTGTGTTAATAGTGTGGCCGTGACAGATGCCAGTGTTCACGCTGACCGTGTGTGAGAAGTAGCCTGAGTGATTCTTGTTCTCTGCTGAGGAGAGTCAGCTCGCAGAGGAAACACTAAAGCTATCCACTCAGCTGCAGCACGCAATTTGAAAACATAAAGCATATCCCTGTTGTGTGTCTCACAGTTTAACCTGCCTGTCACTGCCACTATTGATACTGTGTGCTGTTTCAAATGAGTTTGACCTAGTTTTCAATGACAGTTTCACAGCTTCTTATATTTTCCAGATGTTCTGAAAAGAGAGAATTACACTACACAGATTTATGCAATACTTAATTTCACTCAAAAATCCCTTTCTCCCAGGCAGAGGATGTGGGTGGGATGTGGGTGGGAATTCCCAGGATCCTTCTCTACAGTATTAAAGTAATATAATCAGGATCTCAGCTCAACTTTAGCATGCTATCAGCTGAGCTCTGAATAAGAAGAATGCTTCTAAGATCAGAGTTGGGACAAATATAAGGTGTAAAAATGTTGAACTCTCTGTGGCCAGTTATTGTGGCCCAGCCCTGCTCCTTCATCACTGCAGCAGCACCGCTGTGCAGGTGGGCGTGTCTCCCGACAGCAGTTATGAGTGGCTTTACTTTGATCTCTGCAGAGGAGGTGAAGACTGGCATCACTAATGAGGAGGTCTAACACATGAACTACTTTGGCTTGTCACAGCTTGTGACAGGTGGGAGGGATGGCGTATCTGATGTGTGAACACATACACTATTGGAGTTGATATATTGGTGAGAAAGCAGCAGACAAAAGATACAGGGGGAGGAGAGACAGTGAGAATGAGGCCACATGTATGCCCAGTGCACAACACTTCACATATCCTCACTTCTTTGTATCTCTCCAACTCCTGAACAAAGGTGCGCTGGTAGAAGAGGGTTTGCAGACGCTCCTGAGTGTAGTTGTGGCAGAGGTCCTCAAAGGTTGCGCCGCACTCACGCTTCGCCAGCCTGGGGTTTTGAAAGCCTGGTGTGTCCACAATGAGCAGAGAGCACAGGGAGTTCTGGCTGGATTTCAAGGCCCTGAAGCACCCAGGACACACACACACAAACACACATGTACACACAAACATTAGCACTTTGAGACAGTGTTCTATTGATTACATTCACTGCATATAACCCCTAGCTTTAACCTTAGCTCTCTCCACCACATCCCTCACTGTAACCTTCACCAAACATGATCCAAAGTCTGTCCTACGGCCGAAATCCAACTCCTACATTACAAACAGTCTCTTATCTTCCTAAACCACCCATCCAACCCATTACAATCCAACAATTAAACCCCCCAAAATTATGGTAATGTAAATTTTATCATATAATTTTACTCAAGATGTCAAATATTATTAGTTAAAAGAAAATATTCATAAAGCACAAGGCATCCACACATTTCCACTAGATAATGGTGCAGCCAAAACCATGACGTCCTCAATTTGACACAGCTTCACTAAACTACTGAGATACTAACCGGTTTATTAAAGAGATGAGGATAGTGAAGAGTTCAGAGTAAAGTCCAGATGCTACGGCTTCTAAACACTCCATGGCTGTTGCCTTGGATCCTGGTATGAGAAGCAGTCAGACACAGAACAATCAAAAACAGTCAGCTCGCAACAATCTCATCTGCAAACAACATGACACCAGGAGAATGAGAAGAGCACATTCTGTTTTTGACTGAAACAACAGTCAGTAAATTTGCTTCGACAAGGATGTACTAGTACATTTGAGCACATTATGCCCAAAGGCATAAAGTATTCAAACTGAGTCTGAAATTGTGTCTGTAAAGCAGAGTCATTTAGGGACTCAGGTGTTTCCGAATCAGTCAGATCAAACAGCTCATACTCATGTCTGTGCCTGGCGGCAATGGCCACCTGTTAAGTTCTCCTAATTCAGTCCACTATCACACAAAATAGTGAGTTTATGGTGCTTGGGGGTGCATGTGCGCGCACACACACACACATCTATGACTATATGCTCATGTGTGAGGGCAGATAGAGGGAAGGTAAAACAGAGGTCAACTCTGCCCATCCCTGCTGTCATAGAGTTTTAACTGCATCCTCCTGCCCTTCAAAGTATGTCGCAGTCCTGATGGAAGTCAGAAGACCTGCACGTATGAAAAATCAATGTGAGGCAATTATGATTTCAAGGACAATGAATGAAGAGTGGAACCAAAACTGCTTGTCCCTACATAGTGTGTGCACTTATCTGTCAATAGCCATTGTAAAGCTGTGGTATTCATTACTAAGATAAGCTTTACTTTCTCCAGAGCATGCAATTTCCCTCAGGTGATGAGCAGAGGCGAATGTGTGTATGTGTGCAAACAGAGTGAAAGTGACAAAGAGAAAACGAGGGGGGGTGGGGGCTGTGAGAAATGAAGAAGAAAGAGTCTGTTGGTAAATGTGGTGTGTGGAGTACCTGCATCTGCTGTGCCATTTTCGTCAGAAGCCTGGCGGATGGTGCTGGCTCTGGGCAGGGTGCCCTTGGCCTGGTGCTTGAAGATGGAGGAGGAGAGCTCCTCCAGGGTGCAGCCCAGCAGGTAGGCTGCCTTCTGGGCCCACTCATGACGTGCAAATTGTTTCCTGCCAGCTGAGACACATGCATGAAAACGTCCATTAGCCCTTCTGCCAACTACTGCAGGCACACAGCTAGCCTGGTAGCTTTGTGACAATCCTGTCTGTGACAGTGTGGGATTACGTCTCTGGTCAAGCTGACACTGACACAGCTGGCGAGGACAGAACCAAAAGCATGCTGAAAATACTTTGAATATTGAAAATGAGACAGTCAGCATCTACAAGTAAAAGCTTCTATTGTTTAATGTTGAGAAAATGTCTGAAGCTGAAGTAATAATTGCCCATTTTATCATGTTTAGAATGAAAGCAAAACTTATCATTAGTGGGGACACAATTAATTTATTTACATAAAGACCTCTGTCAGAAAAGACAAGTTTCTCTTTAATCTACTGGCTGCTGATGGAAACATGCAGATAGGAGCACAAACTTCCGTTTTAATCCACCATGAAGTGGTATCTTCTAAGACATGAGACAGAACCTGAGGGATTTCACACAGAGAGTAGTGGGCTCTATCTGTTTCATCAGCGCTGCAGAAGCCCTGCACATTCTTCATGATGATAAGCAGGATGGAGGGAAGACAAGCAAAGACATTTAAATATTTGCTTTGATAGATATTCGCCACCACAGCTATTTAAATTCTGGTAAAACATCAAAGAAGAAATTGGGTTTTCCAATATAATTGAATATTACTGAATAAAACATTAAGAAGTTCATGAGTCTCACAGACAAAAAACTACATACAACACATGCACTTAAAAAGCACCCAGACTCAGTGTGGTAAGCCTTTTTATAACTGCACTAACCAGACACAAGTGTTGACAGTACAGTACACACAGAGCTGTTTCCGCTGGTGCCTTTAATTAGTTCTGTTGGATTAGAGACCATTGCTGCCCTCTTGTGTCTCACTGTGAAGCTGCCAGTGAACGGCCTTTATGTACTTTTTATATTGTGTGGTAAAATACAAACTCAGTCCTGGCAGCAGAAGCATATTTTTTAAAAGGCGTGGAGTATTTTTAAGACCACGAGACAAAATCTAATTGAGGTCAATTCTTGGTCATAACTTTTATCCCATCAGGCATTGTTTCTTCATGGGAACCACAGGAATCCTGAGTCCACAAGTCACCCAGTGATTTTCCGATCAGAACAAAGTTGTTTAGGGTCTGTATTCCCAACAGCAGATGCTGCGCAGGACAATATTCATAGCTGTAAATTTTAAAAACTGTTCCTGGATGGTGTTACGCTGCCATCAGAAAGATTGGCAGCCAGCTGGAGGGAATCACTGAAGATACTTTGGCAAGCAATTCTGCACAAGTGACTGGCAATTACAGCACTGAGAGTGAAAAATGAACAAACATATCAATAACAGAAAATACAGAGATGCTGCCATTGCTACAACACAGTCCGTGTGTGTTTCATGTTGCATGTTATTTTAATACGCTGTGTTTGGTAACCGGTTCCAAAGCACAGAAAACTACACATCAGGTTAACTGTAATGTCAGTCACATAAAAATATTTTTGTAGATAGATGAAGATTCCTTAGTTGGACTTTGACTCTGCCAGTCAGTTCTGCACTGAAGAGAGTTGAAATTAATAAATACAGAGAATCCAGCTGCAGCAGCAGAAGAAGAAGTCATTTTAGATTAGAATAAATAACGACTTTTAAATCTCTGTTTGGACAGACATTTATTAGAAAAACATAAATAATTCCATCCTTGAAAAGCCAAAGGGCCCTTCATATTTAGAAATAAAATATGACTAATACTAAACTCACCCATCATAAAAATCTTTTGCATGGCTCCAGCCTTTTTAAATGGCACATATCTAATTTTAAAATGAAAGTCAAATGCTCTGTGAGAGGCATATCTATTACTTTACAACTACAATAAAAAAAACAATCAGTCTGACTGATGTTAGGTTTCATCAGACTCACAGCTTAAAAGACCAGAACAAATCCTTGTGTTTAAGAGCAGTTGCCTTCAGTCGTCTGATGCATTCTTCTATTGCAGATAAACCTTTGTCAGACCTTAATGTCACTATGAGACTGATGTGTGTGTTTTTCTGTGGTTGTGCTTCAACAGTGTTTCCTAACAATGACTCGGTTTGTTTCAGGTACTGTGACACAGACGGTGCTTCGTTCACGCAGTAAGGCTTCATCAGGTCGAACAGAGAAACATATCTCAGCTCTAACAGCAGCTCAAACTACGGAGACCAGATGCTGTAGGATGAATCTGTGGCGATGCGTCCTGTCACACCCTCATCCCAAAATGTTCCTGCCTAAATTTTTTATTTTGAGCTGTAGATCAATGAGATGGAGGAGTCCAACAACCTGCACACTGACTCTTTTAAAGTGCAAATGCATAATTCAGTTATCTGAATTACAGCTGTCTTGCATCACACAGAGGATGTTACCTACAGTGACATAAAGCAGGCTTTACATTTCAGATATTACACAGAGTTATTAAAATGATTTCTGCTAACAGGTCATTTCAGACCACTTTGGTGATTTCATCATGTACTGTAGTGTGTGTGTGTGTGTGTGTGTGTGTGTGTGTGTGTGTGTGTGTGTGTGTGTGTGTGTGTGGGGGGGGTTAGGTTAGGGCTCTCGTACCTTTAGTAGCTCCGGCAGCTCCCAGATGGTAAATGGCCCCAAGGACGAGCCAGAAGGCTCTTTGCTCATCACCACTGATCCCCAGAACCTTCATGGCTGCTTGGAGCTTAGAAAACTGCTGGGAGGCGCGCTGCTTATCCTCAGTCTGACAGGCAGCACATATATGATAATCAAATCAAATTCTTACTGAGCTATCAATCATAAAATGTCTTAACATAAGACATGGGAGGTCGACTGACCTGTCAAATTATAAGTTCAAACACCATTGAAAAATCTCAAAGCAAAACTTTCAAAATACAATTTCTGACCTTTTGTCATTTGTATAGTTTGTATGTGTTGCAAAGTTAACAGTAAACTGTGACACAGCTGGCTGATGTTGATCAAGTGATTTGTTTTATCTATGTACAGTCTACTACTGGACCAACACACAACATGCATCAATATAAAAGTCACGTTAGACATTGAGCTTTATAAAAGGACACAGTTTCCATTCCAGGCCTTCTACATTTAACAGGTGTTATTTACCTTTGTCTGAGGCAAGATTCCAAAAGCATTGTTCTCAGCAAAGTGGTTGAGGTGCAGCTCAGTTCTGATGAACAACAAAAAAAGCCATCAACATCTCTCATGTCTGTTTTCATCTGCATCAGTAGAATTAGGAAGGAAATCAGCCATATTCTCCAAAAGCATTAACACATCATTGCAATACATCAGTGTATTAACCCTGACCTGAGAGAGCTGTCTACTCCAGCCATCAGGTAGTAAAAGACATTGAAAGTGGACTCTCCCTCTGGTCTTCTGGTCACCCTCATCTTCTCCAGCAGCATGGTCTGTGAGGCCACAGCAGAGCGGACAAGATCATTCATTATAGACAGTGGAAGTCAAAGTTAACAAACAACAAAGCCTGCTGGAGAAAATCTATACGAGTTCACGACACTCATGATGATAGGAGTGGGAGATTCGGTGAAGCAGTGCCAGTGATTTAAAGAGCTAAATATATGGTTATTTGTACCTGGATAGAGGCTGAGGTCACCAGACCCGCCTGGTCGAAGTCCAAGGAAACAATATGAGAGAAGCGACTAGCGTTCCCGTTCATACAGGTGGAGGCATTTCCAAACGCCTCCAGAACAGTGTAGACTGCCTGCCATTTCTCTGCTGCAGACCACAAACACACACAGACATTTGTAGGAGCTCACAACAACATGCAGTCAATTTTTATTCTTCTTATTTAGTGTTTGGATCCTTTCAAACCTACTGGAGAAGGTTTTGTTGGTGCTGCCACCGATGGTAATCAGGTACTGGATGATGTGTTGACAGTTGGTGGTCTTGCCACTGCCGCTCTTCCCCAGCAACACAATGGACTGATCCTGGCGAGTTGTCAGGAGGTTTCTATAGGCAGTCTGCGCCATGCTGTAAATGTGAGGGGAAGTGTCCTCCCTCCTGCAGCCCTTGAACATTTGCATCACCTGGAAAGACAAAGGGACAGTGGAGGAGGGGAGTGGTTATACACAGTGACTATCTCTGTAGATTTATTCTCCGCTCTCATATTCTGCAGGAGATGTGTCAGTATATGCACAGGCTGCAGCCTACCTTCTCAGAGTACATTGAGGGGGCACTAATGGGGTTAATGACCACCATGTTCGGCCCAGCGTGGGTGTGCACCAGGTTGCCGCCGTACCGCTGCCGCAGAGAGTGCATCACACTCGACTCGTTCAGATACTGTAGAGAGGCCAGGTCCTCGACTCGGTCGAACATTGGAGGGTTTGCCTAGAGGTCAGAGTCAAAGGTCACTCGCACTCGAGCAGAGCCATTGTTAACTGATGAGGTTCAGAGTTGAGCTGATGATTAAATACCTTCTCTACATCATCTTCATCCACATCCAATAAAGATCTGTCACTCTCCAGGTGGATTTTCACCTTCCCCTCTGGCAGACTGCCTGCCTCTGTCTTCAGGAGAGTTGCTGCATCGCCACAAAGTGTTGAGTTAATTTATCATGACATACCATCTCACCCTGAGTGCATCTTATCTTACATGTCTGATAATGTGTGGCAGCTGTATCCATTTTAATAATGTCTAAGCTTTATTAAAACTAAACAGGCATTCAGTGTTAAAACGTGGTTAATCTAATTACACACAGCCCGAGGTAAAATGGAGTAGATTATTCAGGTGCTCTCTTTTAACATCAAAATCATTCTGTCTGCTTCAGACACCCACGTCTATAGTCTTTCAATCACACGTCAGACAGCAGCGCTGCAAAGAGACTGTGGAGAATTCGCTTTAGAAACAGAGAAGAAGAAGTTTTTACTAACCCAAAGAAAATCCATCCTTGTGGACGAGCCATACTTTGTCGGTGTTATACCAGGCTCTCTCTGCTGTGATCTGCTCCTCAGTCTTTCCCTGTTAGAGCAGATCAACAGTCAGTGCCAGATCAAACTGTATAAACTGACCTTTACACATTCAAGAATACCACTGTTTTATTATCACACCAGAAAACTCATAATGACTATGATCAAACTTCACCGCCAAGCACAACACACCCACACACACACACACACACACAAAAACACAAGTTTTGGAGGACTGCACAGAAATACAGTAAACTACTTTAAATACAGCATAATAAAGATTGGAAAAGTGCTTTTGTACTTTCTCCCTGTGTTTGAGATGTGTTAACTGTTGAGTCGATCTACTTCAACAGGTAGAGCCACAGGGAAGATGAATCCTGGACTTTCTTGGTGCTGGGATTAAGTCACTAACTGCTGGACCATCCTCCCATCCCCTTCACCAGTTCATCACACACGAAAACCACAAAACACACACACACCACTGTGAAACATGAGAGGGACGCAAACACAACTACAGTCAGGTGTCGCCATGGCCAGACCTTCGCTGCAGCTGAGTGTGCTGCCTGGAGGAGGGCCACAGGGTCTTCAACCAGCTTGGACTGGAGAAGGGAGGAAGCAGAAGTCAGCGGAGACGTCAACCTTTGTTTAGTGATGGATTCGACAGCTAAACGTTGCAGTTTCCAAGCTCACAATCAAGGACATGCAAATTATGGGCAAGGTGAAAAAATGTAATGAGTGAAAAACGTGACAGAGACCACTGCATCGAGAGCAGCAGCTGTCGTCTCAGGTCAAAGTCAGTCAAGCAGCCGTCGCGTGAGTGAGGCGTTCAAGAAATTCACCATAAAAGAATTAGAACACTAATGCATTAATGAGCAGGGATTACAAGGTGCATTAAAGTACAGTGTGTTGGTGTATGGGCACAAAATTCATGTTCTGCCATATTAACAGTCACTTAACAAGATCGGTAGCACAGTAAGGTAGAAAAGCCAGACACCATGCAGCCAAGTGTGCAATCCTGTGATGTAATGTAACAGTCAATTCTCATGAATCTAACCATAGAGATCAATGGTTAGAATAATATAATATACAAAGATACTGGATCACTTTGCTACAGTCCAGGCCCTCGCATGAACCCAGAACTGAACCTCAGAGAGCAGCGCGGGACAAAGATGAGCAGGCACAGACAAAATAGGGCAGAGAGGGGTCAATAGAGGAGAACAAGCATAGATTCCAGCTCTCCACAGGCGAGGGAGTACGCAGAACTCACGGTTGAGCAGCCTGTACCTGAGAGGATTTGTGGCCTCTGGCACGCTAGCCATGCAAACAGCAAAGAGGACAGCGGCAAGCCAGGATCCAATGACCCGCAGAAAAGGAAAGGCAGAGACATGGGACATCATTTAAGACAACGGGAGACAAGAGTGAGGAGAAGGAATAACAATAACAACAAGTAACCAGACACTGCCAAAGTAATCACAAGATGCTGTGTGCTCCTCTCCACCTGACAGAAATAAAGAGATTAAAACTATAGAGATGAAAAGGAGAAGCAGGAGGAGCTAAAGCTGTCACTAAAGCTGTGTAAATCCATCATCAGAGGTGTAACAGTCAGCTGCAACAGGCAAAGAATTCATGCTGCTTTCTTTTCTGAAATAAAAACATGTTACTAATAAATCACACAGAAAGTTTCATCCATACACCATTCATGGGTCCACAGCTGGAGATTGATCAAACTATCCACAGATATTTTCCTCCTCAGTATTTTATAAACATTCAAGTTATGCTGATATTTCCAGAAGGCTTATTTTCTCCTGAAGTGACTCTGTAACTTGTGGGTCAGAGAAATCATCTCTGAGCTCTCAAAGTGTCAGATTTCACAGTGCGTGGCCAACAGCCCAGCAGGGGACCCTGTAACTGAAACCTATGGCAGAGGGGACAGCATGGGACAGCCCCACACAGTTCCTCTATCTGGGGATGCAAGCACTTGACTCAGGCTGGTCACAGGGTTGGTAAAGCATGGAAGGTGCAAACCAGACAAACTGAGGGAGAGACATGTTACATCGCTGCCGTTGACGGTGAAGATCCTCTTCACACGCTTGTAATCCTCCTCGGACGGGATCAGCTCTGGGACCTACGGTTGCATATCGGGGCCAGAAATTGCAAATGAGTGAAGAGAGGTAAAGTCAGTGATCCACAGGTGACTGCTCTGATTGTCCACTTCAGACAAACTGAACACTGAACCAGCACTTACAAGCATGCCGTGAAAAAACATGTCATGCTTTTGAATGTGAGGAACACACTGTTGCGTGCAGCTCTGCGGAAAGATAAAGACACACCTGTTGTTTGGGTGCAGACTGGGCCTGGGGCAGAGCGACAAGAGACGCCTTACCAGTGAGGACCACGGGGGGACAAGATGTCTCCTTCACCTTTACACAGTGAATGTAAATATTCACAAACACACAGACACACAGACACAGAGACGGAATTAACATGGGAAGATTTCGATGAGCGTGATTGATTGATGATCGATACAACCGACGATTGATCCTGATAATTAAATTTTCCAGTTAATCCAATCAGGAAATGAGTGAGTAAAATTTATAAAGAAACTGGATCATTTAGCGCTGCCGCAAAATAATAATGTCTGTGGCTGTCAATACTTGAGTTTTTTTTTTAACTAATTAAACAAGGAATTTAGTGTTGAACTGTCGTACAACAAAATCTAATTCTAATCTAATAATCTAATTATTATTGTTTATTTATGATCAACTGTTATCATTATTATTATTATTATTATATATTATATCTATCTATCTTCTAACAAGGAACCACATCCAAGGAATCTGAGACCAGCACCTGAATTTAAACCATCAAAACTTCTACAGCTTCGGTTTGTGGTTGTCTGCAGCTGCAGCACTTTGATCAATAATTCTAGTTTGGTTCTTATTAGTTATCTTTCAAGTCCTGCTAAAAACTGTTTAAATCATTATTTATTTTTATTTTTAGATGACAGTAAAGCCATGTACGGACATTACAGTGTTAATCTCAAACTGTATGTAATATGCTTAAAGTCAGAATTCATCAAACTTCAACAAAACACATTACGACAGACTGATTTTCTCCAGAGATAATTCAGTTGTGTTTAAAGGTAATGGCTGATGTCAACAACAGAAATATGCTATTTGTCACAGTCTGTTGGTACGTCACTATGTGAGAGCTGAAATAAGTAGGCAGCACAGACCTCCAGGAATGCTGAGTCACACACAAATGTTCAGTGGGGTCCACTTAAAGTGGTCTCAGCTGACATCTTGATCCTGCTCTTAGTATCTGAAACCTGAATCTCTCCTCAAAGCAGCAAAAATGCACATATCTCTAAAATCAAATCCCTGGCTCTCTTTCCAAACACCCAGCTGTTCTGATCTCACCTCACATCTGCTGATAACATTTCAGACAGAACGCCAAAGAAGCTAAATACAGCACCGATCATGATGTTGTCTGGGGAGACAAAAGGTTTCGTTCTGTAAGTTCAAGCATAAACACTTCATATTCAGCTGAAGCTGAATTTAATCATCCATGTATCAGCTATAAGCGACACATGGTGACATGTGATGAAGTGGGATTCTGGTTCTCTGATCAACTGTTATGAGGAAAACAATGTTTAACTGAAAATAACTACTGATGTTCAGTCTATAAAAATATTATTGTATCCTCATCCTGATTCCTTTCTTTGAAAACATGAAGCTCCTGCCTCAGTGGTCCACACTGCAGCAGACAGAGCACAGCTTCAAAGCTCCATCTGCAGAAAGTGGCGGTAATGAGTCCCAGTTCAGTGCTCATAGACATCTCCTACTGACCGGACTAGCAGAGTGTGGGCCACAAGCACAGCCTTATACCCACTGATGACGTCTGATCATGAGCTGCTACATGTTCCCTGCTTCGCTTCACTTGTTCAGGGCAGCTTCATTAGATCAAGACTCGTTTTTGTCAGAAATCAAAGAGCAACTTGTGCTTTAGAGAAAGTGTAAAGTTCCATTCATTTTATCCAACAACAAACAAAGATTAGATGTCCCTGATTATAATACCAGCTGTAATAAAACGTCACCATCTACACTGTAGTTGAAGACAGTCACATCATGAGGTGTCAGGGATGTGAAGTGTAATGTCACACAGCATGCTCCACCCTGAGGTTAGTGAACATGCACTTCTCCTTTCACTCAGTACCTCCGGTTTCTTTACAGTGAATGTACGAGGCTTTGGGATGAATCCTGCGGGGGGAGCCAGGGGGTCTGTCTTTGGGACGTGGATGAATCCTGGAGGTCTTGCAAGGGGATTCTGTTTTGGCAGCAGAGGACTGGATTTTCTGGCAGGAATGAAACCGGGCGGAGGACTCAAGAGATTCTGTCTGGAGACAGGGACAAAACCAGCAGGAGGGGCCAAAGGGTCCGGTTTGGGTGGAGGGATGAATCCAGCTGGAGTGGTGAGGGGGTTAGACTTTGGTGGAGCAGGGTTTGGTGAAGTAGGTGTAGGCGCAGGTGTGGATTCGACCTCCTCTGTTTTTTCCCCTGTAGGTTTTTCCTCCTCTTCCTCCACTTGTTCTTTCTCCTCTTCTTTCAGGTCCTCCTTGCGGTCCTGGGTGCGGGTGCGAGGCCGGTGCTCCTTGGTGCGACTTCTGCCCATTAGGCTGGTCAGACCCCTGGAGATGTCATCCTTATCCTCCCCAGCAGCCTTAGTGGGTTTGGGCACAGGCCTGGCAGCCTCAGGACCAGCGGGCTGGTTCTGCTCCTCCGTCCCGGAGGGAACCACACGTCTAACAACTCTTCTTACAATCCTCACTACCTTTTTACCACCAGAACTCTGCTCCTCACCGGGGGTGTCCGATCCGCCCATGGCAGCGTTACTACAGGAGGCTTCAGCTGTTGATGCAGTTGACTGTGGACCACTTCCTGTGTCCTGCCCAGGTGTAGTGACTGCCTGCGGCTGACTACTATCTACATCAGACTGGATACAAACAGAGGACGGCAGATTATTCCCACACTGTAGCTGATGTGGAAGATTTCAGCAGTTGGTTCTGGGCTCAGAAACTCTGCACAGAAGGTTATTCAAAATTGCTTCATATCAACTTCTGTATTTCTATTTGTGTTTCTTAAAACTCTCACTAAAGCTCACGTGTGCAACCACTCGGGTTAGTGTATACAATCAGATCGCTTGAATTTTAACACTGGAGCTTATTGACAAACGGCCTGAGACAGGTCTGAGGTGGTCTGAGTTTAATGAGTTGAGTGCATCCAGACCTTGTAATGGGTTAATTCAGAAATGAAATGAAAGGTACCTTGTGGAGTTTTCAGCCACTAGGAGGAGTATGGACCAATGTTTTTATGAGTGGGTCTGTGTGATACATCTGTCATTGTTTCACAGTATTCTGAGAGGACGACTACAGAGTAAACATGGATATAAACCATGCATCACATACACTTTTTCTTTTTTTTGGCTTTGCAAACATTTTATGAGGAAGGAAATGCACATAATGCACTGGTTAGACCCCAGGCATAAACACAATGCATTCTGGGAAGAAATACTGAATGTCAACATCATTTCTGTTCGTTTACAAAACAACTCCACAGGGAACATTCAATACTGAAAGTGAAGCATCTAAACTGTCTGTCAGTGTTACAGTATGTATTCTGTATTCACTATATGTGTTTATATACATGTGAGCCCTGTCAACCTACACTTCATTGATCATTAGGAACTGTATTCAGTAAAGACGGTTGTGATCAGGATTAGAAGCTTAACAACAGTTTGTATGAATGACTGTTCAAACACATGCAGGTGAATCAACACTTACATCTGGCTTGTTCTCAACTTTAACCTACACAAGGAAAAGCAACACAAAAAAATCAAACCACAGATGAAAGGAGCATTTCACAAAATTAACAAGCAACAAGATGCAGATACAAACTGTAAGGCAAAAAGAAAATCCAGAAAAGCAAGACTTCCCTTTTGCTCCCAGAATGAAAAGCGTGATTTGTATGCCATGGTGACTGGCCAGAAGTCATGGAACAAGCTGGGCGGCAAGGACAATAAATATATGGAATGATGAGAGAAAGAAACAAGAGACAGCCAGGAAGAGGAGGATGGACTGTGCAGAGTGACGAAGAGCGGGAATTTAGGGGTGAGCGGTGGGATACTGTGAACTTGTTTTCTGCACACAACAGGTCAAACACCAACAGGGCAGAGGGACCATGCAGCACTGAGAACAGAACACATGAACAGCAGAGTGAAATACATAGTTTGATGGTTTCTTCACACAACAGACGAGAGGGAAACATGGAGACGAAGCTCTGACAAGACCTTCACTGCAAACAAGAGTCTTTACTCACAATCAGTGTTATTAATTACATGTGGCTGTTATTATAACTGTGCATGAAGACCTGCCCGTCACCTCAATCAGCACATAACAGTGTTACATACAACACTGGTGATTCAATCAGAAAACATGAAACAACACAACTCAGAGAGCAAAAACATTAAAGTCAGTCATGTAAATGATTGATGGAGAGAGGGATCAAACATCGTACACATCACTACATTTAACGACTGTCAAACATGCCACTTGATCAGACACCCGTCATCACTCTTCATTAACAGCCTCAGGTCAAAATGGGCCTTTTTCTCAGTGAGCAAAGTGAAGTGCGCAGCAACATGTTTCACCATCTCTGGCTCTGCTTTCATCAGTCGCTCCTATAAATAGTTTGAGCAGCAAAGGAGGCCACTCTGAGACGCCATCAGTGCCCAAATGGAGCTGCTAAGCAGAGCATGTACACCACGAGCAGATCACACTGCTCACACACACACCGTCCACCAGAGGCCGAGCCCATTACCTTCTCTCTAGGCCTGGTTAACCTTCCAATCCTCACTCTGTCACTGGAGCAGCGCGGTCAGGGCCAAAGGCAGGTCGGGCCTGGGTCTGCAGAGAGACACACTCACTAGTCCTGAGTGCGCGGGACTTCAGGGGCAGGGTCACAGTCAGCACAGCATGGTAAAGCTGTGGTCTGAGAGGTGGAGGAGGGTAATGTGAGAGGGGCTGGGCAGGGAGAAAGAAGAGGGACAGCTGCTGATATACACAGGGGCTATTAATAGAATTTGCATAACCACATCAATTACCACTGCCACTTCTCCTTTCCCCTCTCTGCTCCTGGTGACAGGGAATCAGAGGCAGTTTCTCATCAGGTGCTACACAAAGACTTTTACTTGAGGGGAACACAAACACTACAGCAAGGCAATTTAGAGCAGATTAGAAAGATGATACAACGATCCTCTGACCAGCTCAGCACTAAGTATCGATGTTCTGCTCAGAACAGATTTCAAACTGAATCAAAGCTCATTTAATCTTCCATCTCCTCCACAATCACAGGATGAGTATGAAAAGTGTCCATTTTCCCTCCATGCACTTCATGCACACACAGAAATACTAGCGTATAGATGTATTTATCTAAGGCCACAGCGTGTCTTTAATATTTGTTTTAACCACAAGAGGGAGCTACTAAACTATCTATTTGTTTTCTGTATGCCACACAAGCTTCTTCTTGGGCACACTACTGACCTAAATTCAAGATGTTGTATTGTTCTCTGGTTAATACTTACAAGAACATAGCACCAGGCAGAGGACTACCATACAACAAATAACACTGCTTTCATGTGTATCTGTAGTCAAGTGTAAATCGGGATTTATAACGTTTTGCAATGACAAAGAATTTTAAAATGATACTTCTGTCTTAGTTAAAACAAAAGGTTTCTTTACTCAGCTTCAAATGAAAGCGCTGTCATAACTGCATTGCTGTAAAACCAGTTAGGTAGAAGCACATGTCAGGGTGAGTGGCCTGCAGGAACGCATTCAGCTCTGCGGTCCTGGGAGTGGAGTCACAAACACGGAAATGTTGCAACAGGCTTGACTGGGCAGGGATGAACTAATCCAACCTTCCTCTCCCTCATTAAGAGTTTCATCCATCAAACAACCGGCTCAGTGACAGTGACAGCAAGATGTCTGTTTAACTGTTTTATCCAGAACCACCAGAGCCAAATGCACCTGTGACATTGAAATGTGTAAAAAATAGAGCTTTTCTAAAAACAAACAAAAATCTACAATCTGATATCTGAAGTCATGTATTCCTCACAGTTCACATGATACTAAGCAAGATGCAGCCCAACACACCGACCCGAGCTGGTCCCTCTGTCACAGTCTGCCCAGAGTCAGTTACTGGGACACAGCAGCACGTCGACTGTTGTCGACACATGGTTAGTGCAGACAAAGATTAAGGACTCTATACACTGTAAACACTGTGATTCTGACCCGCTTAAATCTCCCATAATATGAAATCTGTTCCAATCATGTTGTGTATCGTAAACAAGAGTTTAACACCACATTATTCTGATATTATATTCTGACATACACGTTTTAAAAAAATACATCATGACTCTTTGTCTTTGGTGCTGTTTCTGACAAATGAAAAGTTAAATCAGACAAATAAACTAATCAGACAGATAAACTAAGAAAAGCTGAAGACACAACTGCAAACTCTGAAAAACAATCATCTTAAAGCGTTACCAACTTCTTTTGTTTAATCATGAAATAAAAGTATGAAAGTTACTGAGAGAAGCTCAACATTTCAGATTAGATTTCCATACTGTGTATTCTCCAGAGAATACAGAAATCACAAGAGACATTTGACCAGCGTCCATGCTTTAGTAGCAGCAATGAATCATGGGATCACACTCTAGCGTCCCCTGAAAACTCCAGGATGTGACCCAGATTTTATTCACTTATAGTAAATAGGCCTGAAAATCAGAACTTCTCCCTGAAAGTAGGACGTGTGGACATGATGCACAAGCAGAGACTTCACTCAGGGGTGTGCTCACCTGTACTTCCTGTGATCAGATGGAAGCAGAAAATACAAATGGACTCATGTAACAGACAAAGACAATCTCCAACTTAAACAGACACCAAGGATGATGCTGTGACAATGACGAAGGCACCAACAAATACTAACAGCACAGTTCATCCTCGCCACCAAATAATGTATATACATATGTATATGTGACAGTGATCAAAGCATTATGAAACACATAATGATACACAATTAAAATAGTCCTTCCTCATGACTGACACTGAGGGTGTGTCTGGTGAGTGTCTATGTGTCATTGACTGACAGACATGCCATCAGTGACACACCCAAGAATGTCGAGTAGGAGCGCCTGAGATCCTCAGCCACTGATCCTCACTTCAGCTGACAACATTAGATCAGAGACGAAGATGGAGGCCAGACGCTTGTGTCAAAGTATTAAATTATGAAATATTTATGTAAAGAAGAGAGGGAAGGAAAAATAATATCTTAAGTGAAGCCCCACCTCTTTCTAATCCACCTAATGCTCTCTGCTACAGAGGCAACTCCAGCCTGGAAATGAGGATGACGTCATTTAAATGGGCAGCTTGGATGGTGTGGGGTGGAGGGGTGGAGGGGTGGATGAACCCATTTGCTAATTTCCTAATGATGAAACTGTGTCTGGTCTGCACAGAGACAGGAAATGTATGGAGAGATAAGTGATGCAGGGATATTACATGAAATATTTGGCAGCATCAGTCAGTCACAGGCCACGCTGACATCCACTTTCTGTTTTCAAGATGGAGAAGTGCTGCTGCATGGAGGGTGACTGACTGTTGATGAACTACACAATCACAATGTTCAGACTGAAAAGGCAGAGATCAGTTTATATAGGTGTTGCTGTTGAACTGTCCTGTTCAAGGCACATGAACATCAATGGCACCTCTGATTTATATACAGTATATATATATATATATATAGAGAGAGAGAGAGAGAGAGAGAGAGAGAGAGAGGAGGCTCACAGACCTGCTAACACAGTGTACACCTGCTCAAATATGAACAGTACAGCAGGGTTCCTGTACATAAACAGATGTATGGTAGGAGCACATGGTTTTTGCACCTTGTTTAGACACAGGATTACACAACCTCCATAAGTTCCCACTCAGACTGGTTTTGTTTGTTTTGAGCTTTAAGTCCTCAAATCCTCCCCTTATTAAAAGTGAGACAGATTCAAATCAGTCAGTGATGGACTGAGCGAGTGATATAAAACAAGTGTGTATGATGAAGAGCTCACAGTCAATCAAGAAAGAAACTGAAAGCTCTGAAAACTCAACCGGCACTCACTAGAGCCAGGCCAGGCCAGGCCAGGCCAAACAGTCCTTCACATGGGGTTAGGGTTAGGGTCACCGATTTGACCTGATTAATACGTGGATCTGCACCTAACTGTACAAAGTCACAGATCTCAACATCATGAATATGTCCGGATCTTTATTCCTCAATGTTCAGGACAGTAATAAAAAAAATCTTGGATCCACCCTTTAAACGGATCAGCACCCAAATTTTACCAAAACAAATCGGTTCTGTACATTTTGTATAATCCTGCTGACAAACCAAAAACCCAAAGGGGCACTCAGAGAGCACACACCTCAAACAACATCCACAGGCTTTAGAGAAGCAACTGATCCTGACCTGCCCCAAAAGTCTTTGTGTAATCCTGCTGACTGAGATTAACAGACCGGTGAAAATATAACTCCCTGGCAGAGGTGATCAAACAGAAGAGTAGCTGCTGTGGCCTCATGTATTGTGAACAGTGGCTGCCACCCAATGATCAAACACTCCATGTAACTGTGCATACTTAGCATACTAATTAATTAATTAATTAATTCTAGCCCAGAATTAATGTAATAATGTAATTATTAGTTATCTAATACTGGCCTTTTGAATAGCTAGTAAGCAAATCTTAGAAAACACAACCTTTACATTGGATTCCTTCTTTTATGACAGCAGGAAAGTCTTGTGTATAAAGGGGAGGGGCCTATTAAACAGCCTGGAGCAAACCCCTGTAATCAGAAACCATAAAAGACAAACCCAGCAGACAGATGGAGAGGGGTGTTTAACTGATACTCAACAGGTAGTTTTGTTCAGCCTCTTTATTACGGACTGCAGTTAGACTGATCATTGAGTCCAGACAGTCACTGCTGCTGGTCATTTTTAAACATGAGTTACATTAGACATGACTATAACATGCAGACTACAGCATGTTCATTAGTGAGCTTTAGTGGTGCAGACAGAGGGATGTTTTACCTTTGTTCCAACACTATACTATTACTTCCTGATACCTGAACTTGTGAATCAGCTGATACCGAGTACTGATCTGATACCAGTGCATTAAACAATTATTTTACCAGCTGTATACCACTAACCCTGTATGGGTGTGATGTGATTGTTGTATGGCAGGTTAAACCCTTCAATCTAACTTGACTGTCAATCATAAAAAAAATATCTCAGAATAAATCAATTACATTCTTCTTTGCCACTCTAAAACAGTAGCTGCACACCACACCTCCTGTTTTAGAGCAGTGAAGAAGAATTATTTCCTGTTTATCTGGGTGTGAAACTATAGTTTATTCATAAATTACATGGTTCGGATCAGTGAGTAGACTCATTTACTCTGCAATACTGATGCAGTATTTAAGGCAGTATCAGAAGCATTTTCAATACTAGTATTGGTATCAGAACAACTCTAGACAAAAGTCTTCATGCTATGCTAAGCTAAGCTAACTGCCTCCTGGTACAGCTTCGTATTTAGCGTACAGGCTAGCATCGACTGTCCTGTGTAACTCTCAGCAAACAAGCGTATTACTCTGAACACATGTTGAACTATTCCTTTAAATCCCTTCAGCCAACATGTTCTTGCATCATATGGTATCTAACCATGGTGCAGAGCTCTAGATCTAGAATCCAGATCTTATTATAACCACCTATAAATAGTGCTGTTGGTTCTAGGTCAGCCTCACATGCACATTTTCTACTTTTTCAAATGGCCTGTCTTATGATGATCATCGAGGTTGGTTAAATGTAGGACAAAGTAAGACCGGGAGACAAGCATCTCCTCTAGGGAAGCAAATGACCTGTGTCTCTGGCTGTGGACACGTTCATTCCCACAGTTCAGAGTAATTCAAAATTATAGTTACATGAGTAAAAGTGTTGGACACATGAAGAGACAACGTGACACAAACAGATACAGACATCAGATCATTTGAGATGTCTGTTCCTTTAACTTAATGTTTTCATCCCTGATGGTTCTATGGTATGTTATGATGTTCTCACACTCATAACTACACATATAAAAAAACATGGCCGCTTCACTGTCACTTGTCTATATGTGATCAGTGTCATCAGAAGTGGATGAGCGAGTTTCTGACAACCATAGTATCTTTCAACAGACACAAGGTTGTCAAAACAAGCGAGCCTCATTAATGATACACCAGTATTGTTTGAGTCTGTGCTGTCAGGTCTCCTGTGTCTGTACAGCAGCTTTGTGCAGTGAACCTTTTACATCTTATTTATGTACCACAACAACAAGTCTATCGTGGCCCCTCAACATGGGTCAAGAACTGAACTTTCATACAGAGTTAAATCTTTTCTTGGTCTCAACCTTAAAGTTCTCTGACAGAATGGAGACAATCTGCTTCATCACACAAAAACTCTACATATTAGTTAGTTAATAAAACACTCAGTCTATTGTCTTCTGAATAAGCCTGTGTCAAAGTCAATACACTAACCATAACTTACTGCAAAGTAAAGTATATTCTTTATTCCATTTTATTCTAATGTTATGATTACAGAATAAAACATACATCTTTATGCTGACAACATTTTTATAAAATCACTGTGAAACTTTACTGACGTGCTTCAGATAACAGTTTGTGTCTCTAAACCACTAAATAAAACACTGAAGATCTTCAGGTGTCAGCTGTTCTGGCTAATAAAGAGTTTAACTTGACACTCCTCCACTTGTTGCACATGATTATCCAAGTGAAAAGAAGTGAATGAGCAGCCAGCCAAGTCGTACACCACCATATGGCCGTGGCCTGTGGTGGCGTTGGAGCCGTTGTTTCTTTCAGCATCCCATTGTTTAGTGTCAAAAGACTGGAGGTCTGGTGGGGGGGGGGGGGGGGGGGGGGGGGGGGGGGGTGGGGGGGGGGGGGGGGGGGGGGGATTATATATATATACTCCAGAACCCATTCTCTCTTTCAAACACACACAAACACACACACACTCCCCCATACATACAAACACACAAAAGCAGATTACCAGTGTCAATACAGTTCCATCCATAATCCAGACGTTTTTAATCCACATATGTGAGTTCACATTAGAGGAAAGAAATGACCAAATGATGCCAATATACTGACATACACAGTCGTTTGAGGTGATGACTTTCACCCCTGTAAAAACCCAAACAGTGTGGATCTTGAAACATCTGTTTCTCAGAGCAATACAAATGTGGAGAGTCTGAAATTGCCACTAGAGCCAGAGTGTAATCGTAGCAACAGAGCAACAGTTTGACATGTGGGAATGAATATGTGATGGAACTGAAGAAACAGAATCAGTAAATGTGGAATTTGTGTCTTTAACTAAGAAGCTGTTCACTGGATGGACTGAAAGTGATGCAACAGTACTACTTACATCAAAGACTTCTTTGATGCCTTGGGTGGTCCTCAGCCAGCTGCGGTTCAACTCACTCAGCTCCAAAATGGGCTGCACCTTCAGCCGGACCGACTCTCCGGACTGACGGATCATCTCCACGATTTCGTCCCTGCTCTTGTTCTCCACATTGATCCCATTTATTTCCACCAGCCTGTCTCCCGGCACCAGGCCCAGAGCCCTGTCTTTAGTCCCAGCACCTGGTTCGGCAAAGTGCACCACATGTCGACGCACTCCTCCGTCAGAGTGCCGGTCTAGCATGGTGCTCCTTCTCAAGGAGAAGCCAAAGTCCCCAGTGTTGCGCCGCTGCAGCTCAAGCTCTCGTGGATCTGGTATTGGTGGAGCAACAAGCACAGGCAGCTGGAGGTCTGCACCAGGGAAGGTCTTCTCCACCATCTCAGGTATTTGAACCATGTCGGTGGTTTTCAGGTCGGTGTGGGACCTCAAAGACGACCTACTCCAGTTCTGCCTAGAAAGATTAGAGGCATCTAAAGTATTGTCCTCTTTGCTCCTCTGGGAAAAAGACACGTGTCTCTGCCCCCCCGCAGAATTCAACTTGGCCAATTCACCAAACCGAGCAGCTCTCTCCTTTACAGAGCTCCGATTGGGTTCCACTTCACTTCCCTTCACGTCTTCCCCAGAGGTACTTGCACTTATTTGCCCCACATCCTGCGGTGTGTTGTGAAGGCGCTCAGCCTCCAGCGCTGTCAGGGACAGCTCTGTATTGCTAGCCACCTTGATAGGGATAGGACTCGAGATCTCCAACTTGTTCCTAGACTCCCTCTTAGAACTCCCTCGATTGAGGTGGAAAAAGCCTCTACGAATGCTCATCTCTTCCAGGCTCTTTAACTCTGCCTGGGACATACGCTCTTTCTTTTCTTTCTTGTCTTTCCTTTCCTTCTTGCCCAAGTCCTTCTCCTTCTCCTTCTCCTTGTCTTTCTTTATTAGGTTAAACATGCTTGACCTTTTCTACAGGCCTTCACCTGTTTGAATTGTTTAGAGCGGGAAAAGGAGAGTTTTATATAAACTATCATGAAAGCACCACAGAGGATGAGCAGGACATACAGACCAGTGATGTCATCTGTAAGAAAGAAGAAAACAAAATCAATAATACAACCATCTCTTTTAAAGGTGGAGTAAACGATTCTAATCCAATACAAATTCAGATAATATCTAATCATGGACAACTGTCGGTTCTGTTGTGTTCCTACAAAGATCCTCTTCTGTAAATGGAAAGAGGCAAAGTGGCTCGGACTGAGATCCACAACACTATTCCAGCCAATCAGAAGCAGGAGAAGAAGAGAGGAGATATGGGGGAGAGAGGGCAGTGGGAGTAAGACATGGTAAATCTGGCACATGCTAACAGATAGCACCAGTTTCAGGATTAGCAGGGGAAGGAGAAGGAGTCTACTCTTCCAACGCTGCCACGTGGTGTGGAGGTTTGAATGGGATTGATGGGAACTGCAGCTGAGAGACTGGTGTCGGGTGACAGTGGCGTATACTGTACAACATAATCACACTGTCAAGAAGGAGAGATAGCAGAGGAACAGCCAAGAGGAAAAGATCAGAGGAGCAAAAATGAATGAATGAAGGGTTGGTGAAAACTTCACATCCATCCGCCACCGTCTCCACCATATCCACTGTCTCTACCATCTCCACCCTCAAAGTCTCTACATTCAACTTCACCAGCAAGCGTTAAGCAGCTGCAAGCATGTCGGGGGGGTCAGGACTGTGCTCATCACAGCAGTGCTCGTGATATATTTGTGCATGCAGAGCACGAATACGTCCTCGTGAGGATGGTTTTAAACTGTTCTGTGCGTTCCAATCATGCACCTGGTTTTCAGGTGCATGACTTTTGGGACTAATTAAACGCCACAGTGGAGCTTCTGAAGGAGCGCTGAAGGGACGTGTGGGTTTGTTTTGCTATGGAGTTCAAATATCATCAGTCTCCCTCCACAATAGCTCAGTCCACCTTTAACGTTACAGTCAGACTGAGAAACTGATGAACTGATTATTGGTTTTTATTAGTCTGTCACATCTACACAAAGAATCTTTGGGGTTTCTGGAACTACCTTCAGAGAAATGTCAGTGTCTGGGTTTTATAAACATCACTGGACCCTCCTCTTCTTTATCAGTCCCACAGGCAGCTCACTGGTACATCTACAGCTCACCTGTGGAGGCTCAGGTGCTGGTTCAGCCCTCACTTCCTCCACCTTCTTCCTCCCATCTTAATCTACCTGCTCCTTCTTGACCTCCTTCTGCTCCAGACAGGAGATGTTTTGTGTTTGGAGTTTTCCTCTTGCAGAGCTGCCATATTGACTTCTTTAAAGTCAGGTGGTCGATGGTTTGAGTTGGGTGGTTCCTCTCATACTGGCAGGCTTTTATTTTGTCCATATGTTTCTGCCTGCTCTGTCTTCCTGTGGTCTGACAGACCTTCTCCACTCGCCTCTCTAATTCCTCTTCAAGATGCATGTTTTTCATGTGAAGAGCATTATCTGTCTCTCTCTCACACTTCAGCCCTTTCACCTCCTTGAAGATTTGCTGAAGTTTTATTCCATCCTCCAGTCAATGCAGCAGCGTCTCCTGCGTTCTCTCACGGAGCATTTCATTGTACGTGACCCTCTCCAGTGTCTCACTGCGTTTAACAACCTCTTTAACAACTCTGTCTCCCTGATTCCAGCGACTATTACCCTGCTGGACTTTTGTTTGGATGTGTCTCTGGTCTCTGTGTCTGTTTTTTTCTCTGGAGACATGACATAAAAATGTAGACCTACAGCATGATTAGTGCTCATAAATAATTCATGTAAACGATTCTATAAATCCTGATTTTACAATTTAATAATTTCTGCACGATTTATGAATCTTGAATGAATGACTTGTGCACATAATATAATAGTTTGTGCTCCTGATACTCAAATTACTAATTATTATTACACGCACTTGAATCGATATCATATCCTACTTTCCTCTAAAGGCAGCAAACATTAGAGACGGGCTACAGAAGCTGTGTTTTTATGAGCTTGATGACATCTGAAGTATGACTCCTGGGATCCATACTAATTACAATAGTACATTTTATTATCCTGTATTCACTGGACGGCTCTGCTCTAAAAACTTTGATGATACTGTGGGTGTCCTCCAGGTCATAAACACTCAGCTTCCGGTTCTGTAGCGTGTCATAAATGTCTTCTTCATTGTCTTTTTCAAATGTCCGGCCGACTGAACCGAACCAAAGGAGCGAGGAGGCAAAATATATGATATAAAATAAAGAACACAAATTGTCGAAATCGTACACACCTTTTTTCCTTTCACAGGCTCCATATTTAACACTAACAAATATTCATTAGAACCGGCTCAAAAATCTCATTTTCTCATGTAACATCCACCATAAGTGTAGACAGTGCTGTACTACAGTCAGCTTATATCATCAAATATAATCTATGTGACTATGATCGAGTGATGAACAGATTTCTGACCCTCATCACAGGTTCTGACCTGAGCAGTGAGCTCTGCAGGAAGAGATTACCTTAAGATATTTAATTTAAAGGAGGCCCGAAGAGCTTAAAGTAAAGACGTCTTTATCCCTATATCAGTATTAACAATCAATCAAAGAAACAAATAATAATGTCATATAGACTGAAGAACCAGTACTTTTACAGCTGACACTCTTACTACATCAAGGTAATAATATTTGTGTTCTACGACCGCCAGTGAACTCATTGCAGCCTGTTTAATACAGGAGAGTCCTACTTCAACTTTCTATCCATCAAATCAATATTTGGAGCGAATTAAGCTCAGAGAATTTGGATCAAGTAGTTTGTGAAGAATCAAGAGTAAGAGTCGGTTTGTTCCAGCTGTTATTTCACTGTGTCTCAATAATCAATATCAACCAATAATCAGTATTTCAAATCTTCTGCTGCTCAGCTCACTCTTCAGGTAATCAGTGTAGTTTTATTAATGTAAATGTTGATTCATTTAGTATCTGTCAATAAGAACTGGAGGATTTCTGGCTTTGGGCCCAACAACAGATCTGAGCTGGATCTGTGTTATTTCTTAATAACTGACAAATGATGAAAGAAAAACTTAATGAGATTCAATAAGAGACCAGAAGTGGATCAACTGTTTTCATTTATTTTATCTATAGTGTTGGTGTTAAAATTTCCGGCACTGCTCATGTTCTTTGACAAAATAAAACCATCCAAAAGGAAGGAAGTCAAATACTGAAGTCCGTGATTGTTCACATGTACATTTAAATGATTTTTACATTTAACTCATGATTATTCTTCTCAATCTACAGTTTTCTGATCATTTTAATCTGATATTTTTTCCAGTATCAACAAACAATCAATTCAAACTGGAAGGAAATACTTTATCAGCTGTGTGTCAGCTGACGTCACCTATAGCTGCATCACAGACTCAGACATAAATACTCTAGTGTGTCCATACACTGACACGTCGATGCCACAATACATGTGACGTTGCCCTGCACGTTGACACAGCCGTGAACTCACCTGCTGTCAAATGATCAGTATCAACACTAAAGTGATGCACACCATCTCAACATTTGTGCACGAGTTTCTCCGTCTGAAGCTGAAAGTCCTGCACGTGCATTAAGCAGCACCACAGCTTTGTTTCAGTGAACCAATGAAGAGAAAATTCACACTTAATCCACGTTAATCACATGTGCTGAGGTCAAACAGGCTGTGAAAGAGCCAAGAGCTTTTTCCAGTCACTTTACATTGTGTGAATATTCTCGTGGTAACTTTGTGTGAAACAGGAAACACACACACTTGTTTTTCAGCCTTAATGAAATGACTTTACACACAAAGCTCGGTTGTCGCTGCGCTTCGTCCACAGCTTGGCCGTAATGCTCTCCCTTTAAGCTGCTTTGCCCTCATTCTCTAGCACCGTTGGCCTTAGGGAACACTTTCAGTGGACAGTGTCGAAATGTCATTCATGAAAAACACCAGCAGGTAAACATGACAGTATGATATAACAATGACCTACCTGAGACCGCGCGCCAATCACACCGCTGTTGTCTCACTACAAGTATTCAGTATTTTCCTCCTTGGAATTGACAGTAGGTGCAAGGAAATGTACTTGTGATGCATTCAAGTGTTTGCTGTAAACTCCGCTTTCCGACCAGCCTAGTGTGGTCGGATATTCTGACCTGTAGACACGCAAGTAATTTCGTCTTTGTGTTTTAACTGAAACAAAGAGGTGTGTAGCCCGGTAGTCAGTAGAAGAATAAAACATGAATAAATAAATGGTTTCAAAAAGCTTTTAATAATATAAATAGGCCTGTAATACATTTGTATAATAGCACCTATAACTAGACTTTAAACTGAAGTAAGCTATTCCTTCACTGCCGGGAACTTGTCTATTCAATACCAAAAAGTGCAATGCAATCCATCATTAAATGTCACATGTGGACAAACCCAATCGTCGCTATTTGCTTCGATAATGTCTAAACGGCTCTAAATGGTAGCAGTTCCAATAGTCCCTGAACGTAGCACCGGTGTAAACTGGACAGCAGTGACCCCTCCTGGTGTTTTTACTTACTTGAACCAGAACACGCGGTGCTGTTACAGGTAAATTATTCCCAGTGTGCCCAGTTTTACTTTCATTCTTCTTCGTTGTGTGATTCTGCTGCCCTTAGTTTGAGCCTTCTATGTTTTTACTTTTACATCGACAGTCATAAATGTTTAATTATCCAAATGATCAAACGTGCATCTTTTGAAGTCTTGATATATTATGGGATATCACTTTCACACAGAGAAAAGCAGGCCTTCTGTGACACTTTTGCACAGATACTATACACATGACACGCCACGAACTTTGCTGAAATTTTGCTTCTCACAGCAAAAATAAGGACAAAACAATGAGAATCAGACACTTCTGAACCAAATCAGAGTCAACTAAGTGTGAAGCTGCTGGTGTTTAAATGCATCATCTGCCTGTTTACAAAGGATATGATTTATGTTTCTTCAGTAATGGGGTGTAAGTGTTGGAGCAGAGGAGTATGAATGAATCACAGCAAATCCTGTACATTGGTTTGACCTTATATTTACAGAAACTACTTTTCATAAAATGCTGCACTACATTTGTAGATGAGTGCTTCCCTCTGATGAACCAAGAATGTTAAACAAATTGCATCATCTCCAAATCACTCAAAAATCCCTGCCTATTAAATCTCAGTACACTTACACAGTTGAAATCTTCTGAGGCTAGAAACAAATACACTGATCACAGAACCACAGCTCACTTAAAGTGACCCATCCCAAAAAGATTTCAGTTCAAGTCCATTTTGAGAAACACAAGTCCAGTGAAAGGATGAAAGAATATAACACAAAAGAAAACTCTAGTTTTACAGCCACGACTTTTTGCTTCTTCCTATCTTTGCCATATTGGGCAGCCTAGTCTTGGTGCGCTCCTTTTCTTCTGGATTCCTCTTGGATGTACACTCCAGTGTGGAGTCTGTCTCGAATGAGATGGCTGGGGCCTGGTTTGGGACGCCACCGTTCTTGTCACAGGACATGGTAGATGTGGTCTGCAGGAGGACCCTGCCATGTAAAGAGTGTTTGAGCTCAAGCAACAGTGGGTTGTTGTCGGAGTATAAGTCCACCTGCACAAGGTTCCTGTTTGAGACACAGCATGTGCAGCACGCAGAGAACAGTACTCTGAAAATATAGATCCAGCCCAGATAATGCAGCTCCACAATGTTCAAGATGAAGCAGCCGAGACTGACGCTGAACATGAAGTTGAGGAAGATGGTCTTTTCTGTTGCTCGAGACACAAAACAGTCAGTCCGGTTTGGGCAGGGGTAGGTGTCACAGCGGAAAAGGTGTGGGACTTCAAATCCAAATAGGTAATACTGTCCAATGAGGAAGATGATCTCCATAATGGAACGCAGTAAAACATGTATGATGTAGATAAGTAGCACTTGGCTGGAGAGCTCGGTCGGGTCCTTTCCTACCTCCTTCATCTCCTCTTCCATCTGGCTCCTCTCCTCACACTCCCCTTCCTGTGAGCTCCAATCCTTGTTGTTGTAGGTCATGCTGTAAGGATTGCCCGACTCCTGATCTCCTTCTATATGTTTGTCCCTGTCGAGTGCAGGCGAGGACCTGGGTACCACTTCAATCTTCTTGACCTCTACCTTTTCATTCTTGGTAATTTTTTGCAAGACATACACAATGTAGAAAATAGAAGGTGTGGATACAAGAACAATCTGAAAGACCCAGAAGCGCAGGTGTGAGACCGGAGCAAAAGTGTCATAGCACACATTGTTGCATCCGGGCTGGAGGGTGTTGTAGGTGAACTTGGACTGCTCATCGCTGTAGACAGCATCCCCCACCAGGGCAACAAGCAGGATGCGGAAGATGAGCAGCATCGTCAGCCATATCTTACCAATCACTGTGGAATGGTTTTGAACCTCTGTTAGGAAGCGGCCAAGAATGGACCAGTCTCCCATTTCTGTGGAAACACAGTAGTGAAAACAGTATTTACAGCAGTCAGGCATAAAGTTTTTACAATAACTTAATTTAATGAAACTGCAGAGGCTACTCATACACTCTGCCCTCCCACGAAGAGAAATGCACTAAATATGACCCACTGAACTAGAAATCCCTTGTAATTAAATACCATAATACAGCTTTTTCAGTATATCATTGTCTCTTGTTCATATCTCACAATCTGGCATGAAGCAGTGTAATTGAATTACTCTTACAAAAGTATTTTTTTTATATACTATTCCATAAGAGAAGAAACTGAATTAAGCTCTAAGTGACCAGCAGTTTCTCATATTCACACAATGTTTAGTTTCATTCAATGAGACACATATTATAAATGAATTCACTAATTAACATATAAACTAACCTCCTAATTCAATTATTCATTTTGGAATTACCCCCAAAAAAAGTAGTAATAATGATCTTCTCCTGTCCTGGAGGCGCTCACCTTTGGAGAATCTGAGTCTTCCTTATCCAAAACTGGAAAAATGTCAGAGGAAGCAATCTGCATAACTGTATTTTCAAGTGGAGCCTGTTGCTGGATGTTATTGTATCTTTTGAGCTGGATGAGGGCAGAATGGGCTGACCACACATATTCCCTAACTCTAACTGAAACGTTCATTGCACTGTATGTGAATAAAGGCTTTCAATGTACAGTGGGACAAAGATTGAAATGTACAATGGGGGCACCTTCACTGAACAGCCATTCACAAACGAGCAGATAGTTCAAAGAAGCTACTGGAAAGAGTGTGCAACAATACTGACTCATGCACAGATCTGTGTCCAGTTTCATTTTAGAGCTCAAACACAAGTCTGGATTTCACAGAAGATTTTAATACATTGACTTATCTGATCTTCAAAATGTAACATGAAGAATCCCCACAGCGGTGTAAATAAACTTTCCTCCCTTATAATGAAGTTTTAACAATTTTTACTTTCTTTTTTGCACCTAATTGTGCACCTAAAGCAACTTTAACCATCTCAGTCTGAACTGAAAAGGTGTTATACATTATATACAGTACATTTCTCACCAGGTTTGAATGAAAAATGTTGCAATGATATAAAATCATGTGTGTCTTAGTTATCTGAGCCCATTGGTCGTATGAAGGTCATGTGGCATCTGTTCCTGTAACTCCAGAGGCTCTGTACTTTTGTTCTTTTTACTCGGCTGTGTACAAGGTTAAAGTTGTCATTTGACCACCGACCGGCATCTTGTATTCCTAATACTGTCTGCCTGCATTGAGAAAGGCTTATTACCCTGCTCCAAGAGACAGCAGTAATGTATTGATATTTATAGGAATATTTCAAATCATACTATCTTTTTAACAAATGACTAAAGTACAGTGTACATTTCCTGTTTGGATGTTAGCTATCCCTACTTGTTAGATAATCACTGGTTATACAATTTGATGATGAAAGATATATCACACACAAAACTGTGTTTGGTGCTCAGATGAGTCATGAATAAACCCACATGTACAAAGAATGCTGACAGGATATGTGTTGTATATTGACAAGACACAGGAAAAAGTATCATTTCCTGTTTCTAAGTACTTAAAGCTGAGTAGAAATTTTGTTTGTTTGTTTGCCACATACTCCACTTGTACTTCCAACAAAATTCCCAACATTTAAAAAGTCAGTGTCAGGGATCTTAATAAATATCTCATAAACAACGTTAGAAACAACCTATTCATCCATTGGATACTATTGCCACCTGACAAACAAGGGGGTGAGGCTCATTCATCACCTCAGGAGATTTACTGGGTAAATGCACACATATAAAAATCTGCAGGAAATAAGACTGTAAAATATGAAGTGCTGGGGATTTTTAGTTTATATAATGTAAATGGTGTATTCATCGCACAGGATTAGTCTGAATGAATGTTATTTTGGTCCACTGGGAGCAATTCACTGTTCAATGTATGGGTTCTGACGTTTTCATTCATTCCCAGCCCATGAATGAACGCACGCGGATTATTCCTTGCCCCCTTTAAAGTGAAACACGTCTCATTATACGAAATAAAACAGATTAAATGTTTGTAAAGCAGAGCAAACCGCTTTCCCACTCCAATGTTTCCTTATCAAAAAGAAACGGAGTGTTTCTGAAACACAATCTTTCCTCCACCACATGCGACAGTGGGAGACTATAACAAATGCCCCTCGCAGAATCAGCGAAAAACCATTCAGAGGGGTGTTTGGAAATTAAACTACATGAAATTAGTTCTGTGAAAGGAGAGCAACGATTCTGAGAATCTCTTCCAAATCTATTTTAGAAGATATTTTGTCTTAACAGTCCATATTTATTTATCTCTGCTTTATGAGCTGCATAAACGACTACACTTTTTCTTCAAACTAAATTTAACTCTCCCCCCCTAAATAGTATGCAAAGTGGTTCAGCCCTTGAGGTTACCGGAAGTTGTTTCAGCTGCCATGTTTGGTTGCTTTGTTGTAGGCTTCTACCAGGTTTCCTACAGAATTAGTAAGTGTGGAAATGGAGCCGAGCTGGAGTACGTTTCTTTTTCAAGTAAGTTGACTCTTTAGGAGGGAAACTGGGATAGCTCGTTAAACAACCGTTAAAAGCGTAAGCACCGGTTATGTTCGCGGTAAAACCAGTTTTTAAACGAGTAGTGCCAAGATCAAGTAACCAAGCAAAACAATGGTATATGAATCCAGGCTTCCAGCTGTGAGGCTTGGGAATGACGCTAGAACAAAAAATCAATTCTTCTGAACGAGTGTTTGAAAAACGTGGCTTGTTTGTACATTGTCGGGATATTTAGATGACGGATAAACGATATCTCGACAGCGATTGTGATTTTTAAGTTTGTTTGCCAAGTCGAAGCCAGCAAAACATGCGAGATCATTTGAAGTAACGTTAAAGCTGGAGACGCCACTGCACCGTTACAATCGAGACAGACCTGTTTTTTTCCCCCTTTGACTGAAGGCTTTGATCGGACGCTGTTGGATAATGAGATGTAACGCCGGCGAAGATTTTCATTGTAACGTGGTTATTATCGTGGATAACGTTGGTGTAAAGTGGTGCATTCTGTTAAATGTTGAATAAGTGAATACTTCGGTTATGAGCTGCTGAGATTTACTAACAACGATCCGCAAGTCCGCGGTGAACTTTCCGCTTGCCTCAGCCGGTTCGACAGTAACTAGCCAAGTTAGCTAACGATGTTTAGGCTGCCTTCATCAAACTCGCTAGCTAATTTAGCTTAATTTGGGCGAGGCTGCCGTAATGAGCTCGCAAAACTAACGTTACACGACTTGATAACAAGCTGAGTACAGCACTGCTCCGTTTATTAACTCGCTATTTATTCTGGTGAGCGCGGTAGAAAGGAATTTGAAGTATGCTCATATCATCAGCTAACACTAGCAACCAAGAAGCAGATTTGAAATTAGCAACGACATTGCGCAATTTATAAACCCCCTTTTTCAGCCAGAAAGCGGGTCTGGCTGCTGAGAGTGATATCTGCCTCGGTTTTCTCTGTGTACAAAGATGGAAGGCTATTGTTCAATGACATGAATGAAATATTTTATTCCCATGGCCTCACTTAACCGAAGAAATCAGCCTGGTGCGATAATCAAAATTACAATAGGCAGATATTTTATATTTTATGGAGAGGGCATATTTGAAATTATGCGGTTGTTTTTATTTTAATTATGTTATTCTGTCAGTTTTAATAAAGATATGAACCCTCATACCAAATACATCGCCACTCTACAGTCTCAGGTGTATTTCCCAGTCGTAAATGGGGATTCTTCTGTGTACTATCAGTGAAGTTGTGCTCAGGATGTTGTGGCGGGACAAACAAACTCCACAACTTCATTCAACTTTGCAGCAGTTCCATATTCTTCAAAAATATTTTTTTTGTGTTGTAACTATCATGTCTACACCCTCACGTGCTCAGGACAGAGTTGGTGGCTGCTAAGTTTATTATTTTAATGCAGCTTCATATGAGTTGATTGTGACTGAGGGAGCAGATGCAGGTGCAGAGTTGTTGTAGCAGCACTGTTCTTTAGTTCCTTTCCAGTGATATTTATGACTAATGTGTACAATCTTTAGAGACCAGTGTCTACTTTGGATCTCTTGCCATCTTCTGTACTGATAATTGATCAAGTAAATATGTTGTTAAAAAATTCTAAAACTGGTGCTTAGAGAGAACAGTGATGGAATATGGTGGAGGGGAGGCTTAGATGTAAATTAGATAACCTGATGGTTTCATGCCGGAGAACTGAAATGTTTCTTCTGTGGGTAAAACTTGATACCAATGGTTTAGTGTTAAAGCAAGAGTTGGAAAAAATGAGTAGTGTGTCTTGGTATGCTGTGACAAAGTTACGTATCACATGCTTAAGGGATGCATCATGTTTTTTGTGGCATTCATAACATTTTGCTCTGATGTCGGAGACAGATCGCTTGCTCACAACTTTGAGCACTATTTCTCCCTGATGAAAAAAGCAGATGGACTTTGTGGCTTGTTGTGCAGTATCTGGCATTTAGCCAGAGGCCCTGCATGTATTATGTATCTCACACTGTTACTATGTCAGTGTCATGTAAATCTGTGTGCACTTATCATTTGGGGAGCAATTTTTATTCAGCTACTATCAATTGCTTTGCAACAATTTAGTTTTTTTAGTTCTCCACTGTGTTACCTTTTGTCAAAAGGTATTTTAATCAGTTGTTCTGAATTAAAAGATGACAACTCACTTATTCTTATTTAACTGATTTGACCAGTGTTAACTAACCATATTGTTGAGGATTACCACAGGTGCAGCTGTATCTTCCCCTCTCTTTTACAAATGTGTAGTATATTAAAAATGCAGTATTCATTGCACTACAGTGAAAGCCCCCTTGTGAATCATGTTTTTTAGACCAGTGTTGCTCTGAATGAAACAGTAATAAAGTCATAGTGCAGTTACTCTTTGCCTGAAACTGCATTAACTTTTTTATAACAACACAGAA